TATTTTATTTTTATTTCGCGCGCCATCAACCTATAGAATGGCGGGAATTTCGAATTTACTCAAATTCTAGTTTATTGATATAAATTTCTTTAACTTCTACGATTTGATAGCTTCAAAAAAGTATTAGATTGCGAAAAGTCCATACCCAGAGGCGGACAGTTCGATACGCCGTCCAGACACCCACGGTTCAAAAGGGCCCCACGATGCTGCGGAAAATTTCGAATATTTAAAAAAAAAAATCATACATGCAAAACAAGTATAATAACATTTTAATTAAGCTACATTCAATAAGGACTTATCTTCTAAAATATCATTTATCATACCGCCCATGCCTAATAATATTCGTTTCTGTGGTTGAGAGCATCTTGGAACGCTGAGCGTGCTCCGAAGTATTCCGAATATATCCGACCATAATTCCGAGAGACACAGACCGACCCAACAGTCCATATATTGCGATTTGATTACCACTATTTCCAGGCCGCATAGAGGTCCAGGGCCCCCCCTAGGCCGTCCGTCCAAAACTGTATTTTTACGTACAAAAAAATTTGACATCATGGCGTGGCTCCCTGACACGTCCATTTTTTATTTAGATTTACACAAGTCACAACCTTTGTAAGGTTCCCCCCATTCTCCAAACATATTTTCTGGGTACGCCACTGCTCAAGGCATAGGTTAGTACTAGCACAGTTTATGCCGTACCGATACAGTTGTACAACTCTCCATATTTTTTGAGGCCAAATTCTCCAACCAATAGGAGCATTTTGACCCATATCTTGCGCATGCGCTCAATGAGTGAACAAATCTCTCAAATTGAAAAAGCAATTCGGCATATACATGTCTTTTTCCAATCCTGCATGCAAAAAAGAGATAGAGATAGCTTGAGTGAGAACCCGCGAGAAATAACTGTCAAACGAGACACGCAACAGGATTGTATTACAAAAAAAGAAGAGAAGTTTTTTTGACTGAAATTATTCAGGAAATTGAAAAGTAACCGGAAAATTCATCAATTTGAAATTCGATAAGAGTGTTTTGCTTTCCGTGTTATTCGCGATTTTTTTGTACTTGACTGTTTTATCGTTTATATATTGTGTATTATCATGGTTGCTTCCTGTTTTGTCTGTAAAAACAACACTAGAACTAGCCCAGGCTTAGGATATTTTAGTTTCCCGAACGATGAACGACTGTAAGTATTTATATTTACATATTTCATATTAGGTTTACTCTATACATTCACATAATCACGAATCGTTTCGAAATTATAATATGATCCTGTTATATTCTCAATGTTAATCCACAAAAAATCCTAGTCCGACTCTGTCCACGGCCCAGGATTCGTTGTTTACGATCAATAATGCGCAAGCGCGAAATATAGGGACATAGAATTTGGCTTCAAAAAAATCAATGGTTTGTCAACGGAGTTGAACAACTGTATCGGTACGGTATAAACTGTGGTACTAGGGGCCCGCAAACATATTTGGCCCTGAGGGCCACTCGTCATTGAATCCACCACTGCCCGTGCGACTTTCCACCGAGGTGAAAACATCATATAATTTACTTAATCACCTAGAAATAGTATATTGTGTATTTAGGTGGAAAAGTGACACATTCTCGGCCGACGGTGTAAGTTGACAGGGAGGCGTAGCCGAGGCCGGCAAACACCGAAGGCCGAGAATGTGCTTTTCCACCGAAATACAAATACTATTTTTTCTGCGATCGGTTAAATACCTGTTAAATGTTTGTCTTTTAGTTCCAATTATTCAGCAGTACGAGAATCACTTTCCCAGCCTAGGCCGGAAAAGTGTTTGCCGTATTGTTATTCATTGATTCCTTAGCAACTATTAAAACATAATTAAAATACCAGAATATTGAGTTTTGCGACCTGTCAACCGGTCAAAAATGCTGACATTTCTTGTCAATCGCAGAAAAAATTATTTTTCCTACAGCCGTGCGGAAAAATCGATTTTCCGCACTGATATGCGTGCGGAAAATGAGTTTTCCCGCACGGTGCGGTAAAACGTTTACCGCACGCATATCGGTACGGAAAAAGTTTTTACCTACGAGCGTGCGGTAAAGTGCACTATTTGCAAATGGAAAGTATCACTTTACCGCACACTATGTGATAAAGTGCACTTTACCGCATAGTGTGCGGTAAAGTTAACTTTAGAGCATAGTATGCGGTAAAGTAGAATACCAAGTGTGCGGTAAAGTGCACTTTACCGCATGGTGTGCGGTAAAGTAGAATTTAATATTTATAATCAAAAATCCTCTCTTTTCAGAAAATGGATTTTTGATCATTTTTAAATCTTATCTAATTTCATTAATTAATCTGATTCATTAATTAATTTTATCAATGCCTTTTTTTGGAGATGTAGATGCTCATAAGTAAAATTTTGTACCTAACACATGCGGAAAGTGCCTTTATCGCCCTTAACTGCCGTTGCGTGCGGTAAAGTATCACTTTCCGCATTTGTTAGGTAAATAACTATTCCGCACCGCTGTCAGTGCGGAAAAAATTTTACCGCACTGATATGTCAAAAAAAAAAATACATTTTTACGCCTGTAGGAAAAATATTGTACCTAACACTTGCAGAAACATTCATTTTCCGCACTTGTTAGGTAAATAGCTATTTCTAAAAGCTCAAAATAACCATTTTTGGGCGTGGCACCCGCCACTGACCGTATGCCGTATGCATCTCCCTGAAACTAATCCTGGCGGCGCCCATGGTTGGTGACACTTACTTACCAACCAACTGACAGGTGGATATTATCGCGATTCTTATGCCAGGGACCCTATTCTTGAAACAGGGGAGCAGCGTTCCCAGGAGAACCGGTGTTCTGTCTTTCTCAACGATAGGCAACTGATAATATAAGTAACAAAGACGGAACACTCGGTCTCCTAGGAACGCTGCTCCCATGTTTCAAGAATAAGGAATACAATCCCTGAAAATTGCAACTCATTTGGACTTATAATTCCTGAGATAAAATCGTGTTAAGCAATTTGGAGTGATTTATCATCTTATCAATTTTTCTTGGTGCCTTTTTTCATAGATTTCGGCTTCAATTCTGGGAATAACTTGGTGTATAGAGTTCGCGGAATCCCAAGTGATCATTAGGACACAAAATCTCAACAAAAAAAAATTTGAAATTTCATCGTTTTAGTAAGAAGGTAACCTTATGATTTAGATTTTGGAAAACTTTGAAAGGTCATAACTTTTTTTCTATTATAGATAGAAAGCTGAAATTTTCAGCGATTCTTATTTCAGTAGAGGACTATAATCCCTGATAATTGCAACTCATTTAGACTTCTAGTTCCTGAGATAAAATCGTGTTAAGCAATTTGGGGTGATTTATCGATTTTTCAATTTTTCCGAGTGCCTTTTTTCATAAATTTCGGCTCCAAATCTGGGAATAACTTGGTGTATGGAGTTCGGGAAATCCGAAGTGATCATTAGGACATAAAATCTCAACAAAAAAAAAAAATTGAAATTTCATCGTTTTAGTAAGGAGGTAACCTTATGATTTAGATTTTGGAAAACTTTGAAAGGTCATAACTTTTTTTCTATTATAGATAGAAAGCTGAAATTTTCAGCAATGGGCTCTTTCACTAATTTTTGAAATTGGCATATTTGGATAAAGCAACTAAAAACAGAATTTTCTGTATTTTTACTTTTGAAAAATTCATAGTCCTTCTTGAGAAAACAGAAAAAAAAAGGAAAATTTGTAATAGATTTACTTCTGAAATGTTCGCAAAATATCATGAAAAGTAGTTAAATTAATTAGTTATGGATTCAAGATTTTATAACATTTTTATTGAAATTATGCTTAAACACAATTTAATATAATTTTTTATGTTTAGTTTTATTTATTTATTTTACGTTGCACTACATTTAGTCACCACCGACAACAGCGCATTCGAACCTTTACCTGCATTTACTACAGGGTAAATACAGCCGAGGCGGTCAGCTCCTTGCAACAACAAGCGAAATGAAAAATATTTATGCGACGTCAGCAAATCGGCGCGTTTTTAATTAATTTGAATTTTGCTAGTTTGAAATGCCTGTAAAAAACTTATTTAACCTTGTAGAACATTTTTTTTTGGTATATATGCCTAAAATAGTTCCTCCTTTGGGATTTTATACTTAAATTACGTATTTAAATTTTAGTGAAAGAGCCCATTCTTATTCCAGTAGAGGACTACAATCCCTGAAAATTGCAACTCATTTGGACTTATAGTCTGGACAAAATTATCGCACCACTGCTTATGGTTGTGCTTATGTGCAGTAGTGCGATAATTTTGTCCAGAAGTATATTTTAATAAATAATCAAAATCAAAGTTGCAAGCTAAATTTGAAGCAGAATAATTGAAATAAGAGATAAGAAAGGAGCCGTTGAAAAAAAATTATAATAATTAAGGACACAAAGGCACAAACGTGGCCAAACTAGACATCAAAATCAAGAATTTTTGTGCTCAAAAAACTTCCAGCTTGACTCAAAAATAGATAAGTTACTTGTTTTTTCGCGCTAAACAGTAATGACGTCATTTACAACTATTCTGAACCACAATTCAAACCATTCTTTCCCATGAGAAAACACCTCAAGTGTTTTTCTTCAGATTGATGAACCAATCTTCATTTAAATGACAAAAATCATTTAAATGAAGATTGAATTTTTAATCTTGAGGGCCATGAGTTAGTTAATTTTGGATGCAATATAGGTAGATTAGATATATTTGTCTTCATAGTCAATGGTCTTAGAAAAAAAAATTATGTAGAGGTGAGATTTGATTGTACTTACTAAGAAGGAAATTTACTATCAAGCAGTGACAGATCTACCAGAGACCGGATTCCGAAGCCACGATTCGATACTATCGTCAGGTACATACTTTTGCACGGCTTGACAATAGATGTTAGTGGGCCTATTTGGGTTTGGAGAAAGGACGGTTCTAGAACGGTTCAAAAAAATCGTACAGTTTATTAATCAACAATAAAATGACAATTTCCCGGCAATAACAAATTTCAATAACTGTGCGATTGTTTTGAACGGTTCTATAACCATCCTTTTTTCAAACCCGAATAAAGCTTACACTATCGAATTTTGGGTTCGGAATCCAGGCCTAAGTATCTCATTTGAAATTGAAAAGTTACAGTCATTGCTGGTTGGATCGGAAGTCACAGAGAATGGACAAATACTTGAAAAATTTATATTTATTCCTATGTAGCAAATTTCATTTTTTTGTATACCGGGCTATGCGTATGATTCTTTCCTGTAGCAAGTATACACCAATAAACTCAATGTTAAGAGTAATGCAGTGGCTACCGGTTGTGGAATTTGTAAGGTATAATGCCTTGGTTTTTATTTTTAAGATAAAGATTGGACGTGCTCCTGAATACCTTATAAACAAAATAGTTTACAACAATGAAGTGCATAACTATAATACCAGAAATAGAAATAATTTTTTCATAACTCCAAAGAGTAAAAAATGTACAATGAATTCAATTTTTCATAAAGGATTTAACGAGTTTAATAACCTACCAGAAGAGATAAAAAACTGCACTTCATTGTTGAGTTTCAAGAAAAAACTAAAAATTTATATGCTAGGTAATTGTGATATACTGGATGGTTGATCTTGTGATAACTTTTAAATTATTGTGTATCGTTTGTGATTATTAAGTTTTGTTCTGTTAGTTTACCTATTTTATGAATTATTTATTATTTTACATTTTATTTTTTACTTACTTTTCATATACTTATATTGTATATATTTTGTACTATTGTAAACTAGCAATTTTTATGCTAAATAAAGGATTTAATAATAATATAAAAATAAAAAAAAGTTATAACTTCAATTAACATTAGAAAAAATAAAAATTAAGATGTAACATTCAAATTGATTTCAAATAGTTCTATTTCTATTTTGGAGTATTAAACAATCAATTATTCTATCCTGTCTCTTTACCATTGTTTTTATGTTTTGGCTTTGTTTTTCCAAAACGTCCAAGTATTCTCTTCTCTCAGACTCTTCTGCGATCAACTTCTTCTCTGAAAGTTCAAGCTTTTTTTCTTCTAAAGCTAGTTTTCGTTCCTCTAAAGCAATTTTTTTTGCTTCTAGAGCTTGATCTCTCCTTTTCAACTTTATTCGAGCTTTTTTGTATTGTTCTTGGATATTGCGTTTTCTTTTTCTCCATCTCCTGGGACCTTTGATAGAAAAACCATCGTAAATATGCTGAGATTCAAACAATTTCATACTTACATAAAATATTTATCGTTTCAGGGGTCTGTTTCTCCCTGTTACTAGAGGCTGTAACACTGGAGGCAGTATCTAGTTAGCAACAATGAAAAGGGTAAAATAACATTAACATTATAAATTTAGTAAAATGAAGAAATTTGGCTTACCACAAGAATTATCATTCAAGTATTCTTCATGGTTTGTTTCATTTTGTGTCTTTTCCTCATCGAAATTGCCTAAAACAAAATCATTATCTACAAATTCATCACTGTTGCCTATTTATGATTGAAAAAACGAGTACATACAAGGAAAAGAATACCCAAGGGAGAAATATTGTTGATATCTGAAATTTTGTCCAACCAGTCAGCCCTGTATGCATTGTCTGTCGTTTTGAATCTGACAAGTTCCATATTCGGAGCCAGGAGGTGAAGCTTATGGCAAAAACAGGAGTGACGTCGGGTGACCATTGGCGTTCTAATGTAGAGAGCCACTAGCTCACATTTCTTTGGAGTATTAGATTGAAATCGACGGACTTTGCATACATACAATTTTAATATTATTACATACTTACTACAATATTCATGGTCTAATGAAACTTCTATTAGCTCAGGCTGAGACTCAACTACTGCTTCCCTAGACAGTTTACTTTTATCTTCAATTGTGGCACACTGCTCCCTAGTCCTAGCTGATTCAATTATTGGTTTTGTTGAAGTCTTTTTCTTGTCTTTTCCCTTAAATAGCCACATTTTGTCAAAAATATCTTGGCACAGCTGGTCCTTCTCTGGGTATTGTAAAACTGCAAAGCCAGCTCTATAACAGCAAAACATTTTAGGTAGAATAACAAAAACTTTTAATTTATAAATCAAACACTAGGAACTCACTTTAATGCTTTTTTATTTTCACACCATAATTCAATTAAAAGATTCAAATGATCTTTCAATGTTTTCAGTGAAAAGTCCTTGCTTGTGAGCATAACTACATTCCGTCTAATTATATCCCATAGTTTAGGATTGGCAAAGGGATTTTGTTTTGCCACTTCTCGTAATAGTGCAATGTCGTCTTCATCTTTGAACCGTAGCCTCTTCTTGACTGGTACCTCCAAATTGGTACTAGATTCAGCTATTTCTGCAACACAATATTATGCAACAAAATCTTTACAAATTAATATACTGCACAGCAGCAATAGTTGGTTAATATTACGACCACAAAGATATTTTGAAATAATTACCTTGCCAAAAATACTAGACCAGAGATTAGCTTTTTTACACTTACCTGGCAATAAATTTTGAGCACCTCTTGTATGATAAGACAAATCAGAAGTTGTAGAGGAGCTCCTAACTCTAGAATCTACTGATTCTTGGTAGCAAGCTTAAAAATATGAAAATTATATACTTGAGTTTTACGCAAAACGTTTCATGTTTACCTTTGACAAGCGGCTCTTCAAGATACTCAGTTTCACAAAAGGCTTCTGGTTTTATTATTACTTCATCATCTAAGGACATAAATATTCTGATTACATTCCAATTATTATAAAACCACTTACCACATAATTTTGGTACTAATGCCTTTGAGGGGACAGCATTGTTCAATAAATACTTTCCAGACATAAAGAATGAGGACTTATCAAAATGTAGGTTACATATTTTCAGACGGTTGAAACACTCTTGTGGGGTTAATGATGCGTATTGGTGTGTCCCAACAAATCCTAAAATTTCTTTCCATTGTTGACATCTAAAAAAGAAATATTGAGACTATTATCTTGTAGAGAGTACCTACAAGTAAAATGCGGAATTTTTAGAGTAAATAATTTTGTGGGTAAGTTTTTGCCAGCATAATAGGACTAATGAATATTAATTAATAGGAAGCTTCTATATAGCGTGGTTTATACGGGATAGTAAATTGCGATAGAACTTTCCAGAGTAACTTGCGCTAGTGTTTACATTCACGCAAATTGTTAAATGCAATTTCTCTCAGCAAGTGCTCTGTAGACATTAACTTTAGCAAGTTATTGTACCTGTGTATACACAGTATAGTAGCATTTAGTGTTTTGTACGGAAAATTAGTGCGGAAAAAATGTCTCGTCGTAGAAAAAGAGCTGCAGCTGCTCCTATTATCGTAATTTCACGAAAAGAGCAAGAAAAGGACCTTAAAAAAGAATATGGGTTGAAGAATGGATAGCCAGAAGGCCTACTCTTGGTGCTTACGCGATGTTATTAGATGTTTGAGGAGTGAAGATCCAAATAAATTTGAAAATTTTCTATGTATGTTAGAAATCGACTTCAACTTTTTATTACAATTAATCTCAGATAAAATATCAAAATCGGAAACAAATATGCGTGAATCGATCAAACCAAGAGAACGATTGGCCCTATCCCTGTACATTTTTTATTTTATTTACCATAACTCCGGATACCCTTCAAAAATACTTATTTACACATTGCATGCCGCGTCGAAAATAACTGCCCGACGGTGATGTTTCCATTCAGGCCACGTCGGACATATTATAAGGTGACAATTTGGAAAGTAGCAATCGGGAATATCTTAGACAAAAAATACTATCAGGAAAATCTCAAATACGTATCAGGGGATTGGAGAGGGAACCAAAATGAAGCCTTTTTGAGTCTCCCCGCTTCCCCCCTTAGGGGGTAGGTACCCTAAAGTATTTTTTTCAAATAAGAACCTACACCTGTTTAGTGATGGCAAATGACCGGTAATTTATAATAAGAACATTAGGTAAATTACAGTAATTTTCAAAATACATACAGCAAAGCAAAAGTGGAAGTGACACATTATGTACAGGGTGATCAATTATCAATGTCACCCCCTTCTAACTTTTTTATTTGACATTTTTGACAGAAGTGTCAAATACAAAAGTTTCAAGAAATTGTTGAAAGTTTTCAACTAAGTCAGTTTTAGGCATACAGGGTGCGTCAAAAAAGTGCAGCAGTGTGAAGTTATATTTTTTTAAACGGAACACCCTGTATATTGTGCGCTTATTTTTTAGTCCCTTTTAACCTGATTTCAACGATATATGGTTTGATATGTCTATCTTCAATAATTATAGGAAAAAACATGAACACCCCTTTCAAGGTTTCATAATGAAAAAAGAAAAATTATACCATTTAAGCTTCAGAGAATTATTTTATAAACAGTTTATTGTTCAAATTTTATTCATTAATATACAAGGTGAAATATTAAAATAATTCTAGATGTCTAAGTTACCATTATTATTAAAAAAAAAATAACATGAGAGACCTACACTTTATTTTTTCCCAAGATAGATTTTGACATTGAAAACTTTGAAAGATAAACAATAACGCTTGACCCTGATTGGTCGCAAAATGAGGTGTTTCTGCAGGTTGACATCAGTTTTACAATAGGGACCAATAAGCGGCATTGTTTATGTTTCAAAGTTGACAATGCCAAAATCTATCTTGGAAAAAATAAACCATAGGAAGGGATTTTCGCGTTTTTTCCTATTACTATTGGAGATAAACCAAGAGATAGACATATCAAACCGTATATCGTTGAAATCAGGTTAAAAGGGATTAACAAAAAAGCGCACAATATACAGGGTGCTCCATTTAAAAAAAAAATAACTTCACACTGCTGCACTTTTTTGGCGCACCCTGTATGCCTAAAACTGACTTAGTTAAAAACTTTTGACAATTTCCTAAAAATTTTGTACTTGACACTTCTGTTAAAAACGTCAAATGAAAAAGGTAGCAGGGGGTGACATTTATAATAGATCACCCTGTATATGGATATATCATTTTTGAGAATTTATAATAATAATTATATTATTCTTGAATACTTGTTGAAGCAAAATTATAGTAGATTATACCACGAGTCAATAATGATAGCTATTATTCCCGAGGAATATTTACATATTTACGAACTGAGCCGCGTTAGCGACGAGGGAGTAACATTAAGAGGGAATAATAGCCATTATTGCGAGTAGTATACTCTAGTTTATTTACGACAAATTAATTTATTTGAACTTTCCTTTCCAAAAACGCTCGTTGTTCATCCATCTCAGTACAAATACACAAGCACTACGCGTTTGACACAGACACTTTTGAGTTTGTTCAGGTATATTGTTTCCATGGTAGTACTAAACTGTGTTTTTTTTTTAAAATAAAAGTCAAAATGACATTATGTTGGCAATACAATGTAAAATTGTCAAGCGGGAATAATGGCCATTAATCCCTTTTAGTCCAGGAGGTGGCGCCAAAAACATGCAAGAGTTTTCGCAAGGCGGATATTTTCAAAATAGGTCGTACTTTAGTGCTAGAATGCTAGTGTACAGTCAGCACTAACAGTTCCGGGATAGCTGGCTCTGGGACGCGGGCAAAGTTGTAATTTTAAGAAGCATCTAAACTGTTTTCTCAAATCTCAAAATTTATAGAAATTTTGCACATTATCTGTTTGAAGGTCACAGATAACGTATGTAAATCGTCAGACGTCTAGTTCGTTGCAAAAAGGGGGTCAGACGTCCTCAAAGTTCTTATTTTATGGCAATTTATTCGGTGTCCTGTCAAAATATATTTTTGCGGGTATTTGACAAATATATTTGAAGAAAATGCCATAAAATAAGAACTTTGAGGACGTCTGACCCCCTTTTTGCAACGAACTAGACGTCTGACGATTTACATACGTTATCTGTGACCTTCAAACAGATAATGTGCAAAATTTCTATAAATTTTGAGCTTTGAGAAAACAGTTTAGATGCTTCTTAAAATGACAACTTTGCCCGCGACCCAGAGCCAGCTGTCCCGGAACTGTGAGTGCTGACTGTACACTAGCATTCTAGCACTAAAGTACGATCTATTTTGAAAATATCCGCCTTGCGAAAACTCTTGCATGTTTTTGACGCCAGCTCCCCAACTATTTGGGATTAATATATGGTATTATACATGGATTATACTGCCAAAATCACAAATATAATCCTTACATTATATGTCAGTCGTAAATAAACAATTTTATTTACGACTAATGTCTAATGTGCGTATTATATTTGTGATTTTGGCAGTATAATGACATATGTTATTCCTCCAGGGATTAATGACGAGTAGCGGGATTAATGGTCATTATTCCACAAAAGTGTCAGTGTCAAACGTGTAGTGCTTGTGGATTTCTATTGAAAATTATGAGACTGATGAAATTTGTTAATTGAAAATCTCAAATAAATTAATTTGTCTTAAATAAAGTAGAGTATACTACTCGCAATAATGGCTATTATTCCCTCGGAATGTTACTCCCTCGCCGCTAACGCGGCTCAGTTCGTAATAATCCTCGGGAATAATAGCTATCATTATTGACTTGTGGTATAATCTACTATTATTTACGACTAATGTATAATGTGCGTATTATATTTGTGATTTTGGCAGTATAATGACATATGTTATTCCTCCAGGGATTTTATTCATTCTATATACTGTTAAATTTTTGGATGTTCTGCGATTCTGCAAAGGACAAAAATATGCTGACGACACGCAACTCTATCACGTTTTTGACCCCCTTCAACTTCGACAGGAATGCGCAAATATCAATAGTGACTTGGAGAGGATAGATAAAATATCTACAGATCATGCCCTCCTTCTAAATCCAAATAAGTCTGTTGTAATGTTCTTCGGTCGCCCCATTGATGTTAAGCGTTTAACTCCAGAGATCTCAATTCACATTAATAATAATCTTTTGCCTATAAAAACTGAGGCGAAAAATCTTGGTGTTATTGTTGACAATAAGCTTCGCTTTGATAAGCACATATCCTTCTGCACTCAAAAGGCTATCGGTCGACTAAAAGGGTTATATAATTCTAGGCATTTTCTCAATCAACAAGTGAAAATAATGTTGTGTGACTCTCTCGTTTTATCAGTATTTAACCATTGTGATGTAGTATACGGCTCTTGTTTAACAGCAGAGACTTCAAAACGCATAGAAAAAATCCAAAAATGCTGTTTGAGATTTATATATGGTATCCGTCGTCGGCGACCTGTTAGCCACAAGCTTAGAGTTGCAGGTTGGGTTGACATGAAAACTAGACGCTTGATGCACAGGACTTGCTTATACCATAAAATAATCAGATATAGATACCCAGAATATCTTTTTGAAAGAATTACATTTAGAACAGATGTAAATAATCTCAATTTAAGGTTTAATAATGTTATTATTCCAAGACATCGATGTGGCATTTTCGAAAGATCTTTCGGTTATGACCTTGCTAAAGTCTATAACGGCCTCTCCCCATCCCTTCGAAACGGCTCGACTCTATCTCTGTCGGGAAAAATTAAAAAACTTTATCTTCACTAAGTTTCATGTGTGTTTATTTTGTTTATTTCTCTCGTAAAGGACCACAGATATTAGGGTGAATCTTTTATCTTTTTTTTTATATATGGTATTATCTTTTATTGAAATTAGCATTAAAACTTTTTTATTTTATTTTATTTTTTCTTTAACAATGGAAACACTGTCATGTTTTATACTTTATATTGCGTTTTAGAGAAACTTTATTGATGTAAGTACATTTCTTTGTTTTGCAAAATGTATTATAACTTCGTAATTAGTTGTATTGTTAATTTGCTATTTTTCTAATGGAAGATTTCAATTTTTAAATTTGAAATTTCATATTTTTAAATAGGGTTATTTAAGAATGCGTTGTTTTTTTTTTAAGGATAAGTGTAGAAATCAGCAAGCAGATTCGTCTGGGCGCTGCACTCTTGCCTTTTCTTGTAATTTGAATTACTTGAATAAAGATTATTATTATTATTATTATTATTATTAATGACGAGTAGCGGGATTAATGGTCATTATTCCACACAAGTGTCAGTGTCAAACGTGTAGTGCTTGCGGATTTGTATTGAAAATTATGAGACGGATGAAATTTGTTCATTGAAAATCTCAAATAAATTAATTTGTCGTAAATAAAGTAGAGTATACTACTCGCAATAATGGCTATTATTCCCTCGGAATGTTACTCCCTCGCCGCTAACGCGGCTCAGTTTGTAATAATCCTCGGGAATAATAGCTATCATTATTGACTCGTGGTATAATCTACTATAATTATTTGAAGGGCCTGTTATTCGCCTTCTGATAAACTGTCAGGTATGCAATCTAACGGATAAAAACGCAATCTCTAATCCCATTGGTCAGTTAGTTATCCGTCGACCAATAGAATTATTGACCGGTAAATTTATCTTGCAGATAGTTACCAGCAAGTTTATCTGAAGATGAATAAACCAGGCCTAACACAAACTGATAATCTACTTTTTTCCAAACTTTTTTCCCTAAATCTAAAAATTAGGTTTAATTAACAAAACGGTAGTCATATAAAGTAATTGTTCATATAGTTTAATAAAACAAATTTTACAAAACAGCAGCGATATAGCGTTCATATAGCTCTGAATCTTTGAAAAAAATATTATAGGTCTGTTCCAACACATCAAAAACTGTCCCACGAATGATTGGAAACTATTCTGTATACAAAATTCGCATTCTATGCACAAATTTTAGGCTTTGCGCAGAATCGTGACGGTACATTGTACAGTTTGCTCTCGGGTTTCCTGCTGAGTTGGAACAAAGCTTATAACATAACTATATCTATCAAACTATGGATGGTCTCTATTGTTTTACGTGAAATATGTGATTACAACTACTCACCTTGCAGGATCCTGAGGACAGGGAAAAAATGTAATACCCTCATTATCACTTTTTAAAGAGTTGCAACCATCAACGTCACAATGGTTTTTGGCCGATTGGAAATCCAAGTGATCATGCATGATAAATAGTGGATTGAAACTGTCAACAGAATCTGAAACTGATGCACAATGGACTCCTAACAGAGCAATCCCTAGTCCAGTATGGGCAGTATGAGATAGTATCCGATCCAATGTCACTCAACTTTTTACCAATAAAATGAAATGCCAGTGCTGAAGCTCTGGAGTGCGTTCAAAGACGTCAATGCTAATGCCAAAACCTACTTTTCCCCTTCTACCGGCAATGCCAAATCTGGTGTGAATTTGCTGGAACGCTAAATACCGTTTCTCAATTAGGCAATCCAAACCACGTGACATTCAAGATGGCGTGGCGTCCACACATGGACGAAAACACACAAAAAAATATCTAGTTTCTGCCCAACTCAATAGTTTACGTACCTACAAATATTTTGTTGAATAATGAATAATCAAAATCAAAGCTGCAAGCAAAACTCGAAGCAAAATAATTGAAATATGCATGAAAACACATATTCGAAACTAACTTGCTGGCCGCCACGCCATATTGAATTTGGTCTCATCCAATCAAAATTCGTATAACCATTTCTAGACTCAGTTGAAAGAGCCTCCAAAAGTTACTTTACCGCGGCCGATTTGGAACGTGTAAAGCCAACCGTTTTTGGCACGCTGGAGCCGAACTTGAACGCAATATGCCAATTTTGGCTTGGCTTTAGCCGTTTTTGAACGCAGCCCTGAAGTTCTACTCCACTCAACTGATTAGAAATTATAGTGGTTGCTGGTTTGGTATCGTTTCTGCATTCTACCAGCCTACTTTGTATTTTTTGTAAGCAAACAACAAAAGTAAGAAATTTACATTGCATTGAGTACAATGAGTTAGCTAAAGGTAATTCCTTTAATTTAGTTTAATTCTTCAAATTCAAACCACACAAAACAATAAAGATAAACAAAAACAATGGATGACAGAGGAAAAAATGACAGCTGGTTGACTTTTGACCAAGGCAAGGACTGCGTTCCAAAACCGGTGTTCGGTATAAAAATTGCACGGTTGCTGTACGGAAGCGGAAACTTGCACTCGAGAGTGGTATAGAAGTCCCAAGGATATTACACGCTGCACAGGATAGCTTCAAGGATGATAGTGATGATACACACTACTGGATTGCTTATCGCCCTCGTTTTTGGTAATAATTGCGGTCATATTAGGCACTCCAATCGCAAGAATCGTCTCTCGGAGTGCTCAAAATGACTGTTGTTGCACTGGAACGCACCCTACGTTAAGTGTTGTGTTTTTGATACTCCCTTAAAATTGCAGGTGCTTGAGAGGGCGGGCAGAGGAAAAAGGAACAGTTCAGGTACGTGAAACTTTAATGCACTGGAACGCCTATAATCTACCCGGGGCGCTCTGGAGCAGGACATTGTTCTTGAAACAGGGGAGAACGAGTGTTCCGTAATTGTTCCTTATATTATTATCATTTTGATATCATTGAGAAAGACGGAACGTTCTCCTGCGAACGCTGCTCTCCTGTTTCAGGAATACGGACACAGGAGTGCTTAAAGTTCGTCACTGAAAAGCGACTCTGGATAACTTTATGACGTCATCTGGGGTGCCTCAACATAATGAAAATCTCGATTAAGCACCCCAGATGCGTCATCAAGTTACCCATTAGCAGACAACCTATTCAAGGCTAATACACACTCAATAATACTACAAGATAGCCTATCCTCATAAGGCTTGTGTGGACCAAATCCCCAGAAGCCCCCCACCACGCCAAATCACCAGTTGTGACGTAACAGGCATGTCGTTTGACGTAGGCTGTTTGCACCACAGGTTATAATTCCGCGGGCTTGCGCTTTAAGCTTACTTTTCATGCATCTGTTTATCCGTCAATCCGTTGATCTGGAAGTATTACTATTGGTCCAATATTCTGGCGCCAAAATATTGGACCAATAGGAATACTTCTGGATTAACGGATTGACGGTTAAACGGGTGCATGAAAAGTAACCCTACTTGGTTTTACTACAATAACTAATATTCTAAAACAACTATTTTTTAGATCTCGTTTACATCTGCCTCTTTACCTATTATGTTAATCAAAATTAAATAATATTTTCCATCATAAATTCTAAACTAGCCTCTGCCGCAAAAAGCTGACAACTTAGCCGATGACGGCGGCAATGGGGATGGGGATACACCAATATGGCCGCGATTACCAAAATCGAGGCCGATAAGCAATCCTTATGCCTGATTGCACCGTCTCTCTTAACCGAGGCTTAAAGATAACTATTCCTTGAAGTGACATTTTCCCATGCAAAACTGTCAATTTAAGGGATAGTTATTGTTAAGCCTCAGTTAAGAGAGACGGTGCAATCGGGCATTAGTAGTGTATCATCATCCTTGCAGCCTACTAACTTTAGGAATCAATCCAATTCATCTGTCAAACCAAAAATTCAATATGGCGTGGAGGCCGAACAAGTTTGTTTTGAATATGTGTTTTGCGTGCGTATTTTAGTTATTTTGCTGTATTAACCTTGATTTTGCTTGCAAGTTTGATTTTGTTTTTTTTTAAATAAAATATTTGTTGTGCATTGCATAACCTGTTAGGCAGAAACAGATATTTTTTTTTTTGTGTTATAGCGTACGTATTTTATTGGTAGAGCAAGTGCAACACTGGTTCAATATTTGTGATCCATTGGCAGAGTCCGCGCTGCACTTTTGTATATCACTAGTTGTATTCCTTTCAAGTGTTTGAAACACTCGAGCTACTCGCTCCGGTGTTTAGGGCTTCTAGCAGAGAGGAGAGAGGGAAGATTTTTTTTTAAATTAAATTATAATAATTATGTATAATAAGCACAAATATTTTTTTTTTTCAATGAAATTTTATATTTGAGGTTTCACGTACGCGCTTATTCCTTTCAAAAAATGTTTGTTGCACCACTTGCACCTGAAGTGCTCAAGCCCGAACTCAAACCATTTAATGCACGAAAGCCAGCGCATCTGTTCCTTTCAAATCGGGGTCGACTAGCACCGGGGCGAGTAGCTCTAGTGTTCTAAACTCTTAAAAGGAATAACTCAATAGTATTCCTTTCACACCTAGGAGGAGCTCCAGAACAGCTCCGGGGCGTTACGCGCTTATTCCTTTCGAAAAGTGTTTGTTGCACCACGCATCTCTTCCTTTCAAATCGGGGTCGACTAACACCGGAGCGAGTAGCTCGAGGGTTCCAAACTCTTGAAAGGAATTGAACTATTAATACAACTTATGGGATGGTGCAGTATAATCTGTGGTGCAGTACGATGATGTTTCAATAGTTGTATTCCTTTCACACCTAGGAGGAGCTCCGGAACAGCTCCGGGGCTTCACGCGCTTATTCCTTTCGAAAAGTGTTTGTTGTACCACGCATATGTTCCCTGCAAATCGGGGGCGACTAAGCACCGAAGCGAGTAGCTCGAGTGTTTCAAGCTCTTGAAAGGAATACAACTATTGGGACAGCACGCGTGCAGTTTTTTTAAAGTGTCAGTGCAAAACAAGTGTTGCACGTTGCACTTGCTCTACCAATGAAATACGCTATTAGTGTAACACACATAGCGTTTTCTACGCTGCGGCAAGAACGCTCCGGTTTGCTGGGATAATGTAAACCCATTGTATTAGATGAGAGCGTCGTACAGTGTTGTACCGCACTCAAACCGGATGCAACCGCATCATGCTGCGGCGGCACCGAACGACCGCAATAGAACGAAAACACGTGCAGTGCAGTTGTATGTTTGTAGTCACGCCTGACTCGCAGCGGTTTTTCAGAACTATTTTAGGTCGTGGTTTGTCGTTTGTTTCTTCATTAAATTTCATCAAGTTTAACGTGGATCTATTCCTTGAGTGCATCCAGGGTAAACAAGCATTATGGGAGAAAAAGTCGAAAGAATACATAGTCGCACATGCAAATTTTGTCGTAGAACCTAGAACATTGTAACCTTTTACTAGACTCGTTTCAAATTGGAAGGGTGAATTCAATATTGACGATTCATCTCCTTCCATGATAAATCACTCCGCTTCTAGAGCACACACAATCTTTAATGAATTCGCCATGATACCACCACTACCAAAAATCGAATGGCGAAACATCCCGTTAAAACGGATCCCGATGGGATAGTGTAACAAGTAGAGTTCATCTCGTTAAAACGCATCCTTTCTTGCCGCAGCATTAAAATCGCATAGTGTGACACCGCCCTTAGTGTTGTAAAATCCTGAAAGTTGTCTTGTTGTAATGCAATGAACTATAGCTAAAAACTGGAATGTGCACACTTTGCCATATCTGCCAAAAAAATGAAGCCATGAAAGACAGATGCCACAAGAGTTGTATTCCTTTCACACCTAGGAGGAGCTCCGGAACAGCTCCTGGGCTTCACGCGCTTATTCCTTTCGAAAAGTGTTTGTTGCACCACGCATATGTTCCCTGCAAATCGGGGGCGACTAAGCACCGAAGCGAGTAGCTCGAGTGTTTCAAGCTCTTGAAAGGAATACAACTAAATGGGGAATGTTGTTTTTTTCTGTTGCTCGCTGACATATGACGTTTTCGAAAGTTTTGTCATATTTCCCTTCACAGGATTGGAATACGTGTTGGAAGCAATTTTCGCCATTTAACATAATGAGTGCGACAAAAACAGGTATCCCCTCCGCAGCAGCCGCACTGCAATAAGCAGCAAAATATGCAGTCAACACAGAAAATGAGACACCGTGCATTCGGTATTTTGATCAGAGTTCTCCGAGCTTGAATTTACCGTTCGTTTATTCAAAAAGTGTACTCGGAGCAAGCTCATTTGCGTTCGTTTATTAAAATTTCGGGCACTCGGATACTGCTTTCAACTGCTCTGTTCGCTCGCTGGTCACGTGATTACAGCTCCGCTCAGCACGCTCTGCTCTTTGAGCAAAATACCGAACGCAAGGACAATTTAAACCAAGAAAATCTTCTGTGTGCCAACAATGCGTCAAAAAAAGTCACGTGGTTTGGATTGCCTAATACTGCTTATTACAATCCTTGTTTGCGTTCATATTTTGCTCAATTAATAATTAAAAAAAAAATATTTTATCGATCAATTACCTACCTACTTAGAAAACATCAGAAATTGTGCAACTTTGCTGCATATATTTTAATCGTTGCGTTGCGAAGAGGTCATTTACAATTATTTTGATATAATATGTGCGAAGAATGTATAGGGTGATCCAGTATGAAGACATTTCCTACCTTTCCACTAAAAAACTTATTTTTGAAAAAATCAATATGAGCTAATCTTGATTTTTTCAAAAATAAGCTTTTTACCAAAAGGTAGGTTCACTTTATACTGGAACTGGATCACCCTACAAGTTGTAAATATACAAAGAGACCTGCGATTTCACTATCTGCGTAGAAAACCGAGTGAGAACGCATTCTTCAAGTCAAATAAACGGAGAAGACCAGGTGATTTTACTATCTGCGTAGAGGACCTAGTAAAAACGCATTTTTCCTTCGTTCTTAACGTCTCTACATCATTTCCAAATCCAAGCGGCAGTAAATGATAAACTGGTCATTTTCATTACAACCTATCAAATGTCCTCCGTGCATGCCCACCGGTCCAGGTAGTGCGTTTCAACCAATAGGAAGGCTGCTGTTTATTTACAATTTAGGTTATTAAATGTCATTTACTTATACCTACCTATATTGCAGGTTGAAATGAACTTAAAATGACTAACTTTTTTGAATTTACTCACATTTAATTTGTCTTTCTTTACTGGGTGTCCCACGACGTTTTTCATGTAACTCATGGTATATTATGGCATTTTTCGTTAGAAAATTAAATTACAAAATTTATAATGCCATATTATTTGTTAAGGCTTTGTAAAAGCAAATGATAAAAAATTATACGGTGGACATACGATGATGCGTTCCGAAGTTATCATTTGGAAAAAACCTCGTGGGACACCCTGTATATATTTTTTTTAAATTTGAATGGAAAATTATTCACTGTTGTAGGAGAAATATTGTGTGCAATACGAACGCATTGTTGATTCCGAGTAATTGCCTGACTTTCTCTCTCAATCGATGATGCGCTTTTAATACACAAATAACTATATCCGATTATGATATCAGACCACACATAGTGAGTGACCGTCATCTTGAATCTTGCTTCACCCCATTGACCACTAACAAAATGTTAATTCGCGTTGGTGGTGATTGGAGCAAAAAGATGCCCTGTATAAAACGACGAATTTTTCCTCATAATAAATTACAACATGTAATGGTGATAAGGCTTTTTTGTTTATTTCTTGATGAAGGTATGTTAGGCAATCATTTATTTATTTATAAACTGGACATATATGTGATAGTTTGCTAACAATATTTTTGATAAGAAACTTTATTGACACACATTCATTTATAATTAGATGATTTATTGAGTTTATGCGGTTTACGGATTTATTAGGTGAAAGAAGTAAAAAAAAATCTAATTCTATGTGTGATTATTGAAAAGAAACAATGTTGAAAGCCCAAAGGATATTTACCTGTGAATATTTAGCTGCACTGAACGCAGTTCAAAGCAGAAACTTTGTAAGTAAATTATTCAACCAGCTCAAGCATGAACTAGAAACTTTTTTAACTAAATTTCTGAATTTATCCAAGATTACAAAAAAATGTGTGATACCATTTTTTTCCAGAATTCTCCAATTTTCTGAGTACCTAACACTCAAATTTTCATTTATATTTTCTCTTCAAAAGATAGCAAACCGAAACATTTAGATTAAAGGTAAGCCATTGTGTAGGTAAGCAGGTACCTACTTTTTGTCTAACACATCTTGAAAATGTTTAGAAAGTTAATTAAATAGGCGACCTGAAATCATAATTTAGTATTTTTTTTTTGTATAATATTTCAACCTACTGAAAATACCCAATGACGATATATTTGTGGATCTGAGTTAATATTGAATAGGTACCTTTCACTGCCTTCAGTCTCTAGTACCTATCCAAATTGTCCTTAACGCTTTAGATGACCATACTATTTTTAACTCAGAAATTTATTGAATAAATAAACTTCGACAACCTGTTTCGTCGTAATTTTCACAAATTGATCTCGAAAATGTCATGAAGTTCCACCAAGATAGAAATATCTTGATATTAATAATTATTGTGTCACTGTCCCAAAGTTTCACTTCAAACTTTTGCTTCAAATGCAAGATTGCTGTTGAATTTAAGAAATAAAAAACGAAATCTTTGACTTCCGTTATGATTGGTGCAAGAGGGTAACCTGTAGAAACTGTGCTCACTTAATGCCGAACATCTTCTGAAGGCAAGGTGCGTACCTACCACTGGTACGTTTTTACAATTAATCTTGAAGACAATTCAGCACAAGAAGTTATCTCAGACACAAACATCACTGCTGAAATGTTTGCCGCTCGTTCTTGAGAATGTTCACGAAAGAACCTGTTCTGGACCTAATGATATTGCAGCTGCCTCATCAGTCAAGGAATAATTCTTCACCCACTTCAGTCACGTCACAAAAGTCCTAGACCTGAAAATATACCCATGATATTTTTGCAAAAATGTATAGACGATTTGTTCTCATTTGGGCTGTGGCAATGACTAACTCCCTATAACGGCCGGTTTCTCAATAGCAAGTCACCCCCGGGTTAAGCATAACTCCAGGGTGAACATTGCAACTCGACACGTTTACCCTGGAGTTAAAACCAACCTGGAGGTGACTCGCTATTGAGAAACCGAACCTAAGTCCTACACTCATCATATATACCAGAATAATGGGAAAAAGTTTCCATAATTCCAATCCGAGTTCCAATCTATAAGAAGGGTGCCGCAATACCAAGCTTAGAACTACCGAAACATTTATAGTTTAACATGCAACTCATGTAACTCCATGAAGAAGGCAATAATAACTTGATAGCTTCCTTATTTTCTGGTTGATTCAAGCGTCATACCAAATTTACAACGCTGGACATGAGCTAATGATAGAAAATAACCTACGTTTATCTGGATTTTGAGGAGGCGTTTCAGAAAGACGTCGAAATTGATTGCTTTATAAGCTGGAACAATATGGAGTTCGAGGACATCTACTTGCCACGCTAAACTTCCATTGCTGACGACACTAAACTGATGCAACAAGAGAATTTGTGCTGAAAACATTCAAAAAGATCTTAAAACGATATCTTTTTGATCGAGCACTTTGCTCAATGTTACTTAACGTCGAGAAGAGTTTTGCGCTATTCTTCCGAACAATCCGCAGATTCGGTATTTTCAGAACTTTATGTCTGGCATCAATAGGCAATCTCTTTGAGGCCACTCGAGAAAACTGGTATCCTTAAGCTCTTGGGCGTAACATTGTTAAAGTGGGTGTGACCCAAAAATGGAAGTTTTAGTGCATAAAAATCTAAGAATAAGTATCTAAACCGCATCTTGCTACGATAGACCGTTTTCGAATTAGGGCGGTTCAAAGTTACAACCAGGCGTTTGTGACGTCACACTGGATTATCAGGGACACTATTAACACGTGTAAGAATTTTCCAAAACAAAAGACAATGATCTCCTAGAGCGAATTGCAACCACTGAAAGTATAGGGTACGGTTCACTGACGACTGAACGAACAGAAGACTGCGATTTCGGCGGTTTGACATTACAAGCTCCTGCAGAATTTATCTTCACAAGGAATTTTCTCGGAGAATATTTTGAATATAGGACTGCGGCTTTCACGAGATTTCTTAGAATTTTTTTCTTGATTAAAGTAGCTTAAGTCGTTTTTTAGGGTCACACCCCCTTTAACAATCAAAGTGTATACCTACTTATGGAATTCGTGGCTTAATTGTAATTGCAGAACATTTTTAAAAATGGATTTGACAAAGTCGTATCTGATATCCTAGTGCATTATTATAGTTGGGTAACTGAGGAAAAAAAAGGGATCTATATGGTAACATAATAAATCTAAATAATATCAGTTATTAAAAAAATAAATAAACAATCTCAATAAACATTAAATATTGTCACAACCCCTATATATACGTTTCGTCCTGGGATGTCACAACAGGGAGCGTGACCTGGTTCAGGTAGAGAGAAACTCGTTTGGTATAGGTACAATAAGATATGTAATGGAATAGTAATAATATTACCATTACCCTAGAAATAGTATCATGACGTCTCTTCTACGGCGGGACGTACTACTTATAGGCCACTATGTATTATGTACAGTCTGTACACTTGGCGTGACTGAAGACTGACGCTGGGTTTAAGACAGGTCCAGAAGGGCGTTTCCCAATAAAAGTAGTTTGCACTTGATCTAGTCTGCAGCGTTCAATACTCCCAGAAGGATACTTCCCGAGGTGTTTCCCAGTAAAGGTAGTTTTCACTGGGAGGAGACTTAGTTAGAGGGGCTTTTCCAAATTGGGGTACTTTGCACTAGCCTTAGTCTGCCGGTAATGGATTTCGGCGCAGTATTTATACCAAATTAATGCTGACTCTGTATGTGCAGAGTGGTATTTACTTAAGTAGTTGACAATATCAGCCCCATCAAATTTTTGCAATGTATAAATAATAATAATCGAGAATAGTAACTGACTGAGAAGTTATAAGCTATGACTTTTTCCAACTCTATAGGCTACCAAGAAGATTATCGCGATCCGCAGGGAAGATCAGAGCGTGTGGGAAAGACGTGCGCCCTTTTCTCCAACTCACGTGCGAAAGCTTGTCAAAAATGGCATCAAGGTTATCGTGCAGCCGTCCAATCGCAGAGCCTACCCGATGCAAAACTATTTGAACGCAGGCGCAATAGTTCAGGAAGACATTTCCGAGGCAAACGTTATATTTGGAGTGAAACAGGTACGTATAAAATCATTTTTTCGGACTAGAGATGTTATAATAAAATTTCCTTGAAGGCTCCAATAAATCAACTGATTCCTGACAAGACGTATTGCTTATTTTCGCACACAATCAAGGCGCAAGAAAGCAATATGGCACTTTTAGACGCCATCCTAGAAAAACGCATCCGGCTTATTGATTACGAGAAACTAATGGACGAAAAAGGTAGACAGTAAAGAATGCTGAACATACTATTTACATGCTGAACATCAATATTTACATCAATAGACACGTTATTATTATAACGAAAAAAAAAAAAAAACGTGCTGTCTACTTACATCTTACATCTTATTTACATTAACATCACCTTGATTCTTCTTCTTTTCTTCCAAGTAGTACTAACACTATCTGTATAAGAAATGCATTGTCCAATGTATGCTGAAGTCCGCTACATGAAAGTTAAAGGACCCAAAGAATGCACCTGCTTGTGCTCCGCCCTGTACATTAACAATCATAACTACTCCACATTATTTGCTGTCTAAGGGCCGGTCTAGTCTAGTCGACAGGCGGTTTGGTATTTCTCGATCTTTTCAGTGAGTTTGCTGAGCATTTGCTTCCTTACGCCCTCCAGGCGTTGTCCTTTATTTTCGGTGTGACGGACTTGAGATTCATCAATTCAATAAGAATTCATCCTTTCAGCTTAATCAATAGTAAAATACATTAGCATATACTTATTTAGGTCAACGAGTGGTTGCTTTCGGCAAAATGGCTGGAATAGCCGGAAAAGTCAACGTTTTGCACGGCTTGGGACTCAGATTGCTTGCTCTTGGCCATCACACGCCCTTTATGCACATCGGACCTGCGCACAACTATCGGAACACCAGTATGGCCAGACAAGCTGTGCGCGACGCCGGTTACGAGATAGCTTTGGGACTGATGCCAAAGTCGGTGGGACCGCTAACGTTTGTGTTCACTGGATCTGGCAACGTGTCACAAGGTGGGTATTACACTAATGTTGGTCGTTGAGCGTTTTAGAGAAATCTGTTATGTATCAGGTTCCCAGGAAGTGTTCCAAGAACTTCCTCACGAATACGTCTCTCCGGAAATGCTTCAGAAAGCCGCTGAGCATGGTAGTCTGACAAAAGTGTACGGCTGTGAGGTTCGGCGGCGGCACTACTTGGAACGTGCAGACGGCGGCGGATTCGATCCGGTGGAATACGAAGAACATCCGGAACGATATATATCAACATTCAGCAAAAAAATCGCTCCCTATGCATCTGTTATTGTGAACGGCATCTACTGGGCCGTGAACAGCCCCAAATTGTTGACTATTCCGGATGCCAAACATCTTTTGAGGCCTGCGCATACGCCCTGGTTGCCAACTTCTATAGGTTAGTATACCCTCATTACCCTCTAATTACCAAGTTATTTTTATGAGTTATTTTCAAAACAATCTTGACTGGCGTATTCTTGAAATTTTTATAAAACATTTTTAAACAGCTGATCACCTGATTTTCGCCAATCCAGTTTCGCAGTTAATTAAATTAGAAAAATATTAATAATTAGGTAGAGAACGGATGGTTGGATACAAGTGGAAAATTATGCACACAGAGAATCAAATTTTGGTTTTAATCCACATTTCGATCCATATAGAGTCCTCTTTTAAAAGTGGCTACGTGGTCCTGACTGAGTTACAAAAAACTTGCAAAAGCAAATTGCACGTTTTCGAGCGATATATTGATGTTATTATAAACTGTGTAAGTACAGGACCCTCGCATATCCAGTGCAACGCTTTTCTAATCAACTGTGAAAATAAAACGGTTTGTGTTGCAAGTACTGAGCTGCAAGAAATTTTAGAGTGCTATATAAAAATATTTTTTGTGGAGTCGGGAAGGTAGAAAAACGTCTCGAAATTACTTAAACTGATGGTGCATTGCCTTCTCTATGTTGGACTCGAAAGATTCCTCTTGCATTAACAGACAAGAAGGTTAGACAAAAAATTAACTATATGGTGCGCAATAATATTATTGTACCTGTGAGCGAATCTACTAATTGGCAGAATCCCATTGTAGTGGTTCCAAAAAACAATGGTGCTGACATAAGAATATGTATGGAACCTGTGTGTTTGAACAAGAACAAATATATTAAACGTGAGAGATTTCCGATTCCTATACCCAAGACACAGTGTTTTCGAAACTTACAGGTGCGAAGTATTTCTCCTCACTTGATGTATCATCTGCATTTCTTCAATTGTCTCTTGATCACCTATCCAAGCTCACTTTTGTACACATCTATAACTCCTTTTGGTCGTTTTCCTTATTCGAAACTACCCTATGGTGTCTCATGTGCGCATGAAATTTTTCAGCGTTACATGAATGAACTGTTACCAAACATGCCATTAATTAAGCTTTGCCAGGAAAAATTTCCTATTTTTACTGGTCTTCGGAAGCACTGTTTGCTCAACATAATCAAAACCTAAAATCAATATTGGATAGGATTAAGAAAAGGAGTTTAATACTATAAACAGGGAAAAGTCCAAATTTCTGAGCTATCAAATAAATGATATTGGAATATCCGCAGGTTATGACAAAACTGAAGCTATTAAAAAACTTTCAGCCCCACAAACCTGCAAAGACTTACAACGTTTCTTAGAAATGGTAGTGTACTTATCAAAATAATATTCCCAACTTTTCTAATGAAATAATTGCTCTGAAAAAATTGCTCAGTGATAGAAATAAATGGATCTAATGTAAATTCACATTAAAAGTGCCGAGCGACTAAAAAGCGGTGAGCGTTTTTGAGAATGAGAATACCGGCCCTGGACTGCTAATGAGCAAGCATGTTTTGACAAAATTAAGCATCTTGTGTCGTCAGGAACGACTTTACATTATTTGACCCTAAGAAAAAGACAGTCCTTTCTGTAGATGCTAGTAGCTATGGCCTAGGCGCTATGATTCCTCAAGACGGATGTCTTATCTGTTGTATTATATTATGTAAAAGACCTGTACAGCTGTATGCAACCTCCCCTTTTAACTTAAAAGCGCTTTTTAGAACTGGTACCTTTAAAAATTTGTATGATTTAGAATACACATTATTAAAAGGGATCATTTTCAAAAGCGCTTTTAAGCTACAGGGTGTCCTTAGATAAACTGACATAAAGGTGAATATCTCGATAACGAGAAAAGATAACGGGATGCGGTTTGTTCTGGAAGAATAAGGATTTTTTAAAGTTTTTTTTCATGGTATTGACGAATCCTGAAATTTAGTTTTACAGACATTCGATTTTTTTGAAATAATTACATACTGCCTTATTCTTGATGAAACACCCGCTATATTTTGTCATCGTCAGAATGCGTGACTTTTCTACTTCACAAAAATTTATGCTTTTTTTCAATTATCATGAAATTGAATCGTAAAAATTGCACTTGGTTGAAGAGCGTACCGTCGACTGGCCAAAAAAAAAAAGATAATTATTAATTTGTGTTTTATATGCACTTATTTGTGTTTAATACTTGTATTATTAGTTAACTATGCGCTAATTAGTTGATAAAAGTAGGTATTAAGCACAAATTAATTCTCTTTTTTTTTTTTGGTTAGTCGATGGTATTCCCTTCGACAAAGTGCAATTTTCATGATCCAAGATCAAGATAATTGAAAAAAATTATACATTTTTGTAAAGTAGAAGAATCAGGCTTTCTGACGATGACAAAAGATACAGGGTGTTTCATTAAAAATAAGGCAGTAATTTTATTTCAATATATCGCATGTCTGTAAAACCAAATTTTCGCAAATTTCAGGATTCGGTAATAATGTGGAAAAAAACTTTAAAAAATCCGTATTCTCCCAGAACAAACCGCATCTCGTTATCTTTTCCCGTTTTCGAGATATTTACCTGCAAAATGTGTCAGTTTATCTAAGGACACCCTGTAAAAGAGGATGTTGCATACAGCTGGTAGAGTTTATCAAGAGCGGCGTCAGATAAAAGCCAGCGTGCCATCTTTTGGGCTTTATGACATACATGAAATATTTTTTAATCACAGGTGTGCAAATTCCCTGTAAGTGATTGACTTATTTACAAGTAGATGGCGACATCTTCAATATCAATTCGTTTACACAGTAATATACAGTGGACTAAATAATTTTATTCAGATGCAAATGACATGATAGTATTTCACATTATTAGCCAGGTAAAACAGTTTTTACTAGCGTTTGAAAGAAGTGACTATGCTTCCCGAATTCGGCGACATCTTCAAGAGAAGCTCTGAACACACGTTTGGTTTGAATCTCTGCTGGAAATGACAGCAATCACCTCCTTATTTGGCAGATTTTGATTAATGTTAGAATAAAAAAATAATAAATTTACGAAAATTCTGTTCTATGTGTTTATCCAGTTTTTATTTAAATTCCTGACCAAAATTTGCATACTGCTGTGAACAAAATTGGAAATAATTTTATTATTTAGACTGCGTACTTTGCAACCAAAAATGCTTCGACTCACACTCCAATCTATTATTGTTATGAACATAACTCCATTTCACTGAAAAGTGGTCTAAATTTGGAATTGAACAGAAATTTGTGAAGGTCTGTAAATGACATTTTACACACATTTTATTTAAACGCCCCTCTGAAGAACTTTCTTTTATGAGCGATGAGCGTGTACAATCAAACCCCTTCTGACTGGCATGTAGGGCATGTAGCTGACACATATGGCTGACACTAAACATCGACTGGTATTATATTAATACCTATACAGTGTGTCACACAATACTATCACGTTTGCATCGGTTTCATTATTACCTGCCCAAAAACGTTACAACCATATTGAAAGATAGCTTTTGGCATTTGTTTTTGGCTATGGAAAATTTTATTTTTACTTGTGTATGTACTAGTTTTAAAGCTGAAACAGATCATCGACCACTCTTAGGGCTCCTAAAAAAACTTTCGACGAGATGTCTCCCAGACTATTTACAAAGACTCGCTATGCGATTATAAAATTTCAGTTTTCTCTCAAGTAGGTACGTTCCTGGAAAAAATCTTGGAATCCCTGACTCCTGACACTTCAAGTAGGGACCCTGTTAACAAGAATATTGACACTGACTGTTCGAAAAAATAATTTGAGAATATATTCAATAGTATCTAGTTTAAAACAAAATGAAGGGAGACTTCAAAATGAAATCAAACGAGCCCCAGTACTACAGAAGGTAAAGATTTATGTTTTAAATGGTTGGCCTGAACATAAGAATTTCCGTGCCCAGTGAAGTTGAAAAATATTGGCGAATCAAGAATGACATTTACCTCCACAAAGATGTTCTGTGTTATCATAGAAGACTATTTATTCCCGAAGCACTTGAAGGGGGTGTGACCCCAAAAAAACGACTTGAGCTACCTAATTCAAGAAAAAAAATCTAAGATCTCTCGTGGAAACCGCAGTCCTATATTCAAAATGGTCTCCGAGAGAATTCTTTGTGAAGATAAATTATGCAGGAACTTGTGTTGTCACAACCGCCAAAATCGCAGTCTTCTGTTCGTTCAGTCGTCAGTGAACCGTACCATATACTTTGAGTGGTTGCAATTCGCTTCAGTGAGATAATTGTCTTTTGTTTTGGAAAATTTTACACGTGTTAATACTGATAATTAGGTGTGACGTTACAAACACCTAATCGTAACTTTAGGCCACCCTAACTCGAAAACGGGGCATCGTAGCAAGATGCACTTTAAATATTGGTTGTATCTTAGACTTTTTTGCACTTATACCTTCATTTTTGGATCACACCTCCTTTAATTTCTAGAGATTATTCATCCATCCCATCAGGGTGTAGTGTCGTGTAAGAGGAAAGCCCAAGAAGCAATATATCACCCAGGCTTTCCTAGTGACATTGAAAAAATTGTGTTAAATTGTCTTATTCGCCAATTATATTCTAGAAGTAATGTGCGCCAACCTCTAACTCTACACGAAATACCATATTTTCGATTTTCCATGGCAAAAAGTCGGTATTGACTTCATGACTTCGCTATTCAATTTTAAAATTGCATTGAGCAATGATATAAGAAACCGGGAACAGACCTAATTTAGGGTAATTTAATTTGTAAATGCATTTAAAGTTTAATAGCGTAAAAACAGCTGAACCAAATATCAACATGGTATGTTTGGAATTAGAAGAAAAAAAACTATCATTCTAGCCAAAAATATACAGGGTGTTCCATTTTAAAAAATGCAAGTGTTTTTCATTGACAGTTGGTACTTGTCATTTGCAGGTTTTGACATTTGCAAAAGATAATAGAGATTTTTCGTTTTGTTAAGGCTCTAAAAGCCGCACTAATTATAAGAAACAAACCCTGTACATTTTCCAAGTAATTGAATAGATATTGAGCTTTTTGGCTTATGATGCAAACTTTCTTCTAACGAAGTGATCATTTTGCAGGAGCTCCGGCACTCCCACACCGAATGCTAGCCATCTGTGACATAAGCGCCGATCCGGGCGGTTCCATTGAGTTTATGAACGAGTGCACCACCATCGACACGCCATTTTGTTTGTACGACGCCGACCGGAACAAGGACACCAATAGTTTCAGCGGCGCAGGCGTACTCGTGTGCAGCATCGACAATATGCCTACTCAGATACCTCGGGAAAGTACCGACTTTTTCGGCGACCTGTTGATGCCATTCACTCAGGATATTATCCAATCAAATGCGCAGGAACCGTTGGAGCAGCACCATTTTAATCCGGTTGTGCATGGAGTGAGTATTAGATTAGTATTAATTGACAGGGAAAAACTATGCAAAAACCTCCATTGACCTCGCAAAAATAAAGATAGTCAAATATTTAGATATTAAATAACTTAAGCTGTTTGAAATTTTGTGCGGTCAAGAATTCCGATACCTACCTACTTTTTATTTCTCTCTACTTCTGTTTTACTTCCATAAAAGGACAAAGAGAATACATTTCTGTTGAGATATCAGTAAAACATTGGGACAAGAAAAAAAATAAAAAAAAAAAATAAATTACTCTAAAGCTCTGGGCAGAATAACTTTTCTTTATTAATATTATTTTAATATAAGTTATATACCTTCAAAGGTTCTCAAGGTAGAATATAAAATAAAATTGATTTGTGACCTGCTTGATAGCTTAGCAAATTCCAGGGCCACACTAGGTCAAAGATAAAACTATAATTAAAGTAATCATATTTTATCGTATAAAGATAATGATAATAATATGCACTTTATTAATTTATTAAAACTTTTACACTTTGAGAGCGGTGTAAAGATTATTGAATGAAGATAAAAAAGTGATTCTTTTAGGCCATTATAGCTAGCAATGGAAAACTCACACCTAACTATGAGTACATCCAAGAACTGAGGAAAAGCCAGTCGTAAGTAGATTCTGCATTGCAATATTTGAAGCTCATCATTCACCATATATCAGATTAGAAATCTAGGGCCTAATACGAATGTCTGTTAAGCTAGTCTCAAATGCTATTTAGTATTCAGGATTCAAATCGAAAAGCAGTCCAGATAATCACCTGTTACTGAAAAAAAAAAAAAAAATAGTCATATTTCATCATTGGAATATTTTCCTTCATAATTGTTATCAGCACAAAATGTATGAGTTTAAAAACAATTTAAGAAACTTCTATCTTTTAGCAGAAGCAGACACAACACGTCAGTAGAAAGTAACAACATGGAAAAGAACGTCCTGATTTTGGGAGCTGGCCGAGTAGCAGCTCCTCTGGTGGAATACTTGAACCGGGATAAAACCATAGGTAAGCGAAGCTTCCTGTCGTAAAAACCCTCGTTCCACGAACTAATAATTAATTCAAAAATAGGAATAACCGTTGCCTGTGAAAACGCCGACCTAGCAGACAACCTAGCCAGAACCTATTCCGGAGTGGAAAGCACCTACCTTGACGCGATGGACTCCAGCAATTCGTCGATGGAAGAGCTCATAGATAAAGCTGATGTTGTCGTCAGCATTCTACCGGCCAACATGCATCCTCGCGTTGCCAAGTTCTGCATCAACCAGAAAACCCATATGGTCACTGCTAGCTATATGAGTAAAGAAGTAAGTTACGTCAGAATAAATTCACAGCGGTAAAAAACGTCTTGTGACTTGTGATATAATAATCGTAATTTTAGTCAAATTCCAAGAAGTCAGTCAAACCTTGAAACGTAGGCCAAAGCTCTATGATTAGTTAAAAACTTTTTTTTTTGTGACTATTTAAGATAGGTTGTTTGTGCATAGCTCAATTGCCAATTAATTGTATTTATATATTTGATTTCAAATTTTGGCGCCATACAATTTCAAGTTCTATGGCACGAGAAGATTCGATGCGCAACCCTGAAAAATCAGCGCACCAACCAGATTAAGAAAGAGATCCGAACTTGTTAGTTGAGCTTTTCGAAACCCTCAAAACCATCCATTCAAAATTCAATTCAAATCCCATTATAAAATCAATCTTAAAGTTTAAGAAGATATTTTAAAATTATTTTACGTGATTGTGTTCGTCGAAGAATTGGTAGACCATCAGGTGCACCTGCCGGAAAAGAAAATATCGTTGGAAGAACACAAGTAAGTGCCTCCATTTTGTTCTTGTATGGCTCGGGTTCGAATATCATAGATTCATTTTTCGGCAAAAATTTAGATGAATCAACGCGTTTTCAGTCCCGCGGCTCTTAATATCGAAGATAAATCGAAATTCAACATCAAACGAACATATAGGTACTTACCTACTATAGTTTTTTTATTTAGGTTTTCTGAATCGTTTAATTGAATAAATGGATAAAAACGACTATTTATTGTTGCGTATTTCAACTAGGATTGAATTGATTCAACAGCAGAAAAAAGCAATTGGAGATTTATAAACAGTCACTGTATTTTTATATGGCATGACTCATAGATAAAGATATTACAATGCAGTATTCTATATCAACGAATCAACAGAACAAACTACTGTTTAAGATTCTCAGAACAGTGTTTGTATATTTCCATATTTTCACAACTTCTCTCAAAACAATCTGACAACACATTTGTACTTTAAACAACTTTCTCCCCCTTTGGAAATTCTATTAGAGACCAATTATTTGTCGCCAATATGATAGCATTTCTTCCTACATTGCTTTATGGCACTGGATTGCTTCTTAGGATAATATTAGCAGTTCTGTATGTACCTAGCATTCATCCATGTTGTTTTCTCAAGTATATCTCTTTTATTACTTCCTCTTGAACTTTTATTTTCATTTCTATCGGAACTATTAGACCTTTCATTTGAATTTTCTGGATCTTCAACTGTTGCTACTTCTAGGAATAGGTTTCATGACATCACGAGAGAGTGAAACTATCTGTTGCCCCCCAATATCCAACAAATCTGCCTTCTCCGCTATAATTTGTGCCCCATGGACGACTTTCGACTTATGGTTTTCGTACCTGCACCAAAGCAAGTAGTATATACCAAATTCAAAGTTGCAACTGCCCGTCCATTTCAAAGTCGTATTTTTAGTCAGAACAAGTAAATTTTTGAAAAATAAAAAAAAAATATTTATAACACTTTTGGGTACCTAATAAGTTTCAGTAAAAATAATGATCATTCCACCAATCTATGCGATATTTCAGAGTTTAAATTTACAGATCATGGAAATATCATTTATGTTCACCGGTGATTGATCGAAAAATTTGTAGATTGTCGATTTTTTTTTTTTCAAGATCAAAGATCTAAACCAAGCAGCCCAAGCCGCGGGCGTCACAGTCCTTAACGAAGTAGGTCTCGATCCAGGCATTGACCACCTACTGGCCCTTGAGTGCATCCAGGAGGCGCAAGCGTTGGGAGGTCGCGTGACTTCCTTCGAATCCTTCTGCGGAGGCCTTCCAGCACCGGAGTTTAGCGCCAACCCGTTGAGATACAAATTCTCCTGGTCACCGAGAGGGGCATTACTGAATACCCTGTCATCTGCTAGGTAAGTAATTCATTTTCTAAAGTAGGTTTTATGAGCTGTGAATCAAACTGGAAAATGTCTGAAACATGAGGTTTAAATTGTTAAATGATATTGGATAAGAGAACATATCACAGATCAAATCATCATCGATGAATTTGTTGAAAATCTAAAATATGTAGTATATGGCAGCTTCTTCAATTTAATCTAGTAACCTCTACCTAAAATAGATCCTAAATATTTCAGGTATCTCCGTAAAGGTCAAATAGTGGAAATCAGCGAAGGTGGAGAGCTGATGCGCGCAACGAAAACATTGGATTTCCTTCCAGGATTCAATTTAGAAGGATTTCCGAATAGAGACAGCACGCAATACGCCAAATTGTATGGAATTGAAGAGGATGCCAATACAATTTTGAGAGGCACAATACGTTACACTGGTTTCTCGCAATCGGCTAAAATACTTCAATTTTTGGGTAAACTTCACTTCGCTTATTTCTAAAACTAATCTCAATTACTTTTAATTTGAAAAATGCCTTTAAACTGTTCGAACTGCTTCCATACAGCGAAGAGAAATCCTGAAGCGTATCGGAATTGGTACATTTATAAAGTAACCATACCGAGTCGAAAATGTTCTAATTTATTGTTGCTTATACATTAAAAAGACACACATTGTTTTAAAGTCGACGCAGCTACGGCAATAAGAGCCAGTCAAATCTATTTTTTTTGCGTCTTTCAATTCAGAGAGAAATAACAATTCATTCTTAAGGTCATCTTACCCCAGAGAATAATAACCAGTCATCCACATGATCATCTCACCCCCGAAAGGCAAGACATCGTCAATGTTGCCTTACCGACCTTACCCCGCCTGTTTACATATTTATTGCAGGTTTTGAGCCTGCATCAGTAGCAGCAAATTTTGATTAAGTCACTGCTCAGTCAACAAAATCTGATTTTAGCAAAATTTTTCTTCAGGCCTTCTAGATCCAGAACCTCACCCGTCTCTTCACTCCCAAGGACCGGATATCACGTGGCGTCAACTGATATGTACTCTGTTGGGTCTGGAAGACTGCAATATTTTCTACGACAATTTGAAGACTCAAATTTCTGAACGGACCGGCACCGATTTTGCGGTGGAGGTGGTGGAAGAACTTGGCCTCCTGGAGGAGACACTTGTGGAAAAGCGCGGCACTCCTTTGGACACTTTGACGCAGTATTTGTCGAGAAAATTGGCCTTGGGTGAGGATTTTTGAATATTTCAACACACTGAACCGATTGAGTAGAGTAAGTCGGATAAGTTCAGAACAGGTGCAAAAATGTACCAATAACGTAAACTAATTTTTCGTTATAAACAGTTTAGCTAATTTACCAATCAAAATGCTTCTACCAAGAATTAAAACTCTTATGTAGTAGATAGAAGGTATATCTTCTGAGAAAGCATATGAATACTATAAGTTGCTGTTCTACTTCAAGCTGCTCTTCAGCTATCCTGACTCATTATTCTAAGCTAATATAATGCTAGGTTAAACTGTTCGAACCTGGTTCCAACTTATCCGATTTTCGTCCAACCTATTCTTTGCTAACTGAAAATGATCGGACCTTTTAATATACCTGATTTTTTGTGGACTTAACTGATATAAATTTCAGAAAAGAACGAAAGAGATTTAGTAATCTTAAGACACGATATCGGTATTAACTGGCCCGATAATCGGAAAGAGATCAGGGGAGTAAATTTCGTAGTATACGGCGATGCGGACGGACACTCGGCGATGGCCAAAACTGTTGGCTATCCTACCGCTATTGCCACTAAAATGGTTTTGGATGGTAAGAATGAAACCTTCTATCATTTGGGGATTTTTTTAAACACTGCTATACATAGACACCTTCTCCATATAATATGTATTTCAGAGATCGTCAGTTTAATTTCAAAAAGCGTCAATTGAAATTTAAATCAGTAAATTGTATTTCAGATTATTTAATTTTATTTGGGGAAGAGTCAATTGTACTTCAGATTAACTTATTTTATTTCAGAACGTGTCAATTTTATTTCGGATTAGTTAATAGACCGATCTCCTATTACCTGGACTGCGCGCGTCGCTTGTAGGCTGCAGGTGAGCGTCCAATGAGAAGCAAGTTTGTTACAGGCTCGCGTCATATTCCTATTCAGGGGCCAGTTCAGAATGAATCGTTCTTTCTTTCTTTGTAACGTGTAATTCGACAAAGAGCAACTAATACTTTACGTATAACTTATGAACTCACCGCAGTATCATTTAAAATTATGTCAGATTATACTTGACATATTCCTTTGCACTTTCATTGTGCGATGTTGCCCGATGAAACATTTATCAAAATGAAAGTACAGACGATGTTAAAATACACTTTAAAGTTCTTCCTTTGTCTGATCTAAAGCGTTGTAGAAACTTGTAGAACACGTTGTAAAAAAACTCTTTCTATTGGTATAATATTTAATATTCGATTTGTATTGTCTAGATTTATTCTACTACAATACAAACTGGCTACACTGCAACCCACTAGTTGCGCGCGCATGTCATCTTTTATTAGGTACTTTCCAACTTGTATTCATCACAATTAAGCTATCTTTTTCTATTTATGCGAGACAGGTCAATTGAATTTCAGATTAGTAGATTTTAGTTCAGAAAACGTGAATGATACTTCAGAAATTGTCAGATGTAGTTCAGAAATCATCAGGTATCTACGCAGATTTTCCCAAATCAACACAAGATAGGTGTATTGGTGACTCATTATATAGTTATTTATGTATCAAGGGAATTATGAGGGTGTTAATACCCCAGGGCAAAGTTTGTGTCCCAAGGGCCTTCGGCCCGAGGTACACCAATTGCCCGTTGGTATTAACAACTGATAATTCCCGTGGTATATAGGCCTTTCCCCAGATGTTTTCCTCTAATTCATCACACAATTCCCTCCATTTCTGTTTCTTGCTGTTGCCAATTTCCCTTTTCAGTTGCCTTCTGGCCTCCCTGTATTTTTCTGTGCGGTCCACCAGGGTGTTATCGTTGTTGGTTTGTCCTCGCGCCCTTGTAAGCTCTCTTCTGCACCTGTTGCATGCCTTTCGTTTTTCCGCAATTTGTTGGTTCCACCAATACACTGGTTTGTGTTTGTCTGCCCTTGTTCCGGCTTTAACGAAGTACTTATTGCAGGCCCCCGTGATACCTTTTATCAGTGTTTCCGCGTCCATGTTGTTGGTGTTGTTGAAAATCGTGTTAGTTTCTCTCGCTAGCTTCTCCATAGCCTTCGGGCTTATTCGCCACCCTCGGAGTGTAACCTCCTCTGTACGTTTGTGCTCCTCTTGGAGCGTATAGGTTATAGTTCGATGGTCGCTCAGGTTTTCTGGCTCAGTTTCGACTTCCCAGTCATGGATATGTTTGCTTATATTTCCTACTGAATTTACTGTATTTTGTCCATTTTTATAAAGAAATAAACTTTTAACCAACATTTCTATCTTCTGTCAAAGTTTCACCTATTCAAGGTAAAAGCGGGAGTTATGGAAATACTTAACTCCCTTGGGAGTTAAGACCCTGTTTATGATTATTGTAACCAAGGTATTATATGGTTATAATAGTTCAGTAGGAAATAATAGTTATTTATGTATCAAGGGAATTATGAGGGTATTAACACCTGATAATTCCCGTGGTACATAGATAGTTTTATTTCCTGAATTTACTGTATTTTGTCCATTTTTATAAAGAAATAAACCATAAACCAAAATTTCTATTTTTTGTCAAAGTTTCAACTATTCAAGGTAAAAGTGGGAATTATGAAAATCCTTAACTCCCTTGGGAGTTATGATATCCTTAACTCCCTTGGGAGTTATGAAATATCCTTAACTCCCTTGGGAGTTAAGACCATGTTTATGATTATCGTAACCAGGGTATTATATGGTTATAATAGTTCAGTAGGAAATAATAGTTATTTATGTATCAAGGGTACTAAGTAGATGATTATTCCCTGAGGGCGACAGTCTTACAAAGCCGAGGGCCTCTGGCCCGAGGGTATATTATCTATTAGTACCCGTGGACCGTGGTGCATACAAACTTTTATGTCATACCAGTTGGTTGTGAATAATAAATACCTAGGAAAAAAGTGTCAATTCGCAAATTGTCATCAGTGTGCAAACATCATAATTTTTTGACAAAAATAATATGTTTATAAGCGTAAATTTATATTTTGTTAATAAAGAATAAGTTAATTGAAAACTGTTTTTTGCGTCTTTATGCGCGCGCGGGCCATAATGTGTACTTTATGCCCGCACGGGCATAAAGTAATTAATTATGTAGATGGTATCTAAGGTATAAAAACACAATAATGTATTGGTATGACATAAAATATTTTATTTTCTACTTTACTATTATAGATCCATAATACCTAGGAAACGAAATACGTTAACACACCTATAACAACCTGATCCATAACGCCCGCTTTTGCGGGCGTTATGATCTATAACGCCCGCTTATAATACCTTAAGGTGTTGTTTTTGTTGTTGTTGTTCTATTAATTTGCACTTTACCCTAGGCAGCCACTAAATGTCTGACCGAAAATAATTTTCGGTCTAGCCAGGATTCGAACCCGGTCTACCATCAATGTTTCCCATGTAGTCCAGCGCGTTAACCCACAGGACCACCACCGTTGCCTTGCCTTATGAGATGTTTATAGATATATTAATTTATTTCGTTTCTATGTACAGGTCCTAGGTACAGGTACAGGTCACAGGTACAGGTACATGTCAAAATACAAAACAATATTCTGTCACACAAGTTTAACTGATTTTGTTAATAACAAATTGATGAAAAAACATTGTGTTGAGTAGAAAATAAAGCATTGTATGCACCACGGGGATTTCAAGATTATAATGCCCTTCAGGCGAAATATATCCCTCGGGCCATAGGCCCTCGGGCTAGTTTCGCCTTCGGGCATTATAATCTACATAATCCCCTTGGTACATAAATAGCTATTATTTCCTACTGAACTATTATAACCATATAATACCTTGGTTACGATAATCATAAACAGGGTCTTAACTCCCAAGGGAGTTAAGGATTTCCATAACTCCCGCTTTTACCTTGAATAGGTGAAACTTTGACAAAAAATAGAAATTTTGGTTTATGGTTCATTTTTTTATGAAAATTGACAAAATATAGTAAATTCAGTAGGAAATAAAATTATCTATGTACCACGGGAATTATCAGGTGTTAATACCCACGGGCAATTGGTGTTCCTCGGGCCGAAGGCCCTCGGGACACAAACTTTGCCCTGTGGTATTAACACCCTCATAATTCCCTTGATACATAAATAACTATAATACACTACATTGATAATATCTGAATAACATTTGACGAATTCTGAAATATAATTCACAATTTCCGATCCACAAATAAATAATCGGAAACCAAAATAATGATTTCTGAAATATAAGTGACCAAAATGAAATACAAATGACTTTTTCTGAAATACAACTGACCAATCTGAAACATAAATGATATTTTCTGTAGGTACTACAACTGACAAAGTTGAAATACAAATAACACTTTCTGAAATTAAACTTACACAACTGGGATACAATTGATGCATTCTGAAGTAGAATTGATAAATCTGAATTACAAGTGATACATTCTGAAATATTCATGGAAAGAGTGTAGATATAGGTGTTTTCAGACCCTCATTCACTTTAATTTTTTAGGTGAAATTCAAGAACGAGGAAGCATTTTACCATTTGCGCCGGAAATATATCGACCCCTATTGCAAAGGTTAAGGGCGGAAGGGCTAACGAGCTCTGAGACTTCAAGATTTTTTTAAATAAAGTAATTTTCTAAAAAAAAAAAACTGGTATTTTTTCTGTATTTTATTTTAGAAAAAAAACATATCACTGATCTGAGCCTTTTTTTTTCCGTTTCTATTGTAGCTTTAAGACATTTTTCATGTATATTATGCCTAAGTTAGTGCTTGCTCTCTAAAAGCTTAATAGGATATGAATCGCTTAGTCTTTCAATATTACCACGTGTGTTTACATCAGAATTGATGGTTTAGATGCTCTGCCATCTGATCCACAGCTACTCAAATAAAGCAGGAAGACACTTACCAGAACATGGGTGAAGAAGTTTCATTTCACCCACCTCTGGGCTCTGTGTTCCAAAAAGGATCCATCAACCGATATGTGTTAGTACCTATCCAAAATAGTAGTCTTTATTGTTAATGTTGTGACCATCCTTTAATTAAAATCCATAATAATTATATCTACATATTATCTGCTTTATATACCAAATTTAATCATTAAATAAAAATGCCTACTATGTAAAGGGGCTTAACATAAACGGTACATCGATACATTTCTTTCCATAACCAATGTAAACTACTCCATGCTTGTGAGTATTTAAAAAATGGTAAAAAACCAAGCCTGGCCAAAATAGCGATCTTAAAAGCACAATAGAATCTCCTATCGGAATATCCACAATCCAATTTCCTTCAGGTTTATCAATATCTAAAGGATCCATAAAATCAGTAGCATAGTTGTAGTCATCACGCGTTAGCAGGTTGGTGTTGAATTTTTGCGTTGGAATTCTATCATGCAAATACGAATACACTTCTCTGGCTTCTAAGCATGCGAGCCCTTCAAAAGATAAATTATCAACAATAACTCCATCAGGTCGGCGAATTTTTGCTCCTCTAGGTATTACAGCAGCTTCGTTAGAAATAATGTGAATCAGCGAAGCTAATCTGTCTTCTTCTTTGAGTTTTCTTATTTGAGGTGCTTTTAGCTTTTCTCCTATGTTAGGTTCATCTACTCCAATCAAAATATCAATGATCAGGGCAGCGTCTCCTTGAAACCTCGTAGTACACAATGGAGTAAGAAGTAAACCATTTTTTGTAGGTTTTGGAAGTAATCCCCAATTCATACCATCATTACTATAATAGTAAATTTTTCCATACAGAGCATCAGTTACATACCCATAGGCAACATAATAGTCTTTGACCTCACCAAGGATTTGACCCCAAAAATAAACGTTGCGAAAATGGTTCTCATTTTGCAGGACCAGGAGGCTATTTTGCAGAATTAGCTGTTGTTCAACTGATATTATTTTGCCATAATGGCCAATACTTTGAAGACAATCTGATATATAGTTAACATTCATTTCGTGAAGGAACTTTTTGAAATGTGAAAGTGGTCAAAATGACGTTGCCATAATGTTGTGTTTTGACTGGTGACATTATAGAGAGTGACACATCACAATATAATAAAATAGAAAAAAACAAAAACTGTTTACTAGTTACCGATTCTTTTGCAAATGTCTAATTTTTAATTCAAAAAATTGAAAAAGTTAATTTTTCGTCTAAGTGAGACCAAAGTGGATCGTTGTATTATAGTCTTCTTTGTCCCTGCATGAATCTAAAAATATGAAGATGACCCGCAAAGAACCGCGTTTCTTGGCTACAGTTATGGAAGCGATTGCCTCTATGAAAGAAAAGACGGGCTCGACACGAAAAAAAATTATTAATCATGTAAGGGCTGCATTAATAGTTGGGGAGCTGGCGTCAAAAACATGCAAGAGTTTTCGCAAGGCGGATATTTTCAAAATAGGTCGTACTTTAGTGCTAGAATGCTAGTGTACAGTCAGCACTCACAGTTCCGGGACAGCTGGCTCTGGGACGCAGGCAAAGTTGTAATTTTAAGAAGCATCTAAACTGTTTTCTCAAAGCTCAAAATTTATAGAAATTTTGCACATTATCTGATTGAAGGTCACAGATAACGTATGTAAATCGTCAGACGTCTAGTTCGTTGCAAAAAGGGGGTCAGACGTCCTCAAAGTTTTTATTTTATGGCATTTTCTTCAAATATATTTGTCAAATACCTGCAAAAATATATTTTGACAGGAAACCGAAGAAAATGCCATAAAATAAAAACTTTGAGGACGTCTGACCCCCTTTTTGCAACGAACTAGACGTCTGACGATTTACATACGTTATCTGTGACCTTCAAACAGATAATGTGCAAAATTTCTATAAATTTGGAGCTTTGAGAAAACAGTTTAGATGCTTCTTAAAATTACAACTTTGCCTGCGTCCCAGAGCCAGCTGTCCCGGAACTGTGAGTGCTGACTGTACACTAGCATTCTAGCACTAAAGTACGACCTATTTTGAAAATATCCGCCTTGCGAAAACTCTTGCATGTTTTTGGCGCCACCTCCTGGACTATAAGTGTCGTTTCTTGATGTTCCTTTGGAATTTATCTGTTCAGATTTATCATGAAAAATGTGTAAATTGGATATTAGAATTTCAGCTATATACGTCATCATGAATTTATATTGATTTTTAAATTATTTTAGGTAACTTACTCGGCCATTAAAACGAAAGTCACAGTACAAGTTCAAAAGGCTCTCGAACATGCAGTTAATGAAGGGCTAGTTAAACATCACAGAGGCAAATATGCCCTTCGGTTGAATACGGAAGACTCCGATACCCTTCGGAGAACAATCCAGACCCAAAACTTTTATGAGGTACCTGCAAGTAGTGGACGTCTGCGACGTACCAAACGAGGGAAAAGCATTGGAAAGAAAAACGACAGCCATAGGAGAAGTCGTCGAAAGTGGAAACGGAATACGTATCCTGAAGGTAGAATTCAAATAGTGTCACATAGTAAATATACTTTTATTAGAGATATGTTCTGGAAACTTCAGAATCGCGTCGTAGAAGTAGCAAAAGGCGTCGTGGACATAGTGAACAGGGTAAAATTCGCGTGCAAGTTGAGACAGGAGGCAACAAAGCAAATGAAGTAGTGAATGATCCATGCCAAAACCAGACAGAGGAGAAGAACCAACCTCAAGTGGACAAAAAAGGTATATACTTATAATGAAAAATGATACTCAGACTCAGGGTTCGTACAGACTTGCATATTACGCCGAACAATGCCAACAGCGTAATCAAATGGAAAGGAAATCCTGCCTTATATCCAATGCTTTGCGGTCGATTTTCCATTATTATAGCCTCAAAGCAACAAAGAAAAGGCTTGTTGTCCGGCGCAATGTAGGCCTGTACCTTAACTTTTAACTTTAACCCCAATTTTAAAACTAGAAGAAATTTTGTTGTAGAAAGTCTGGTCAAACCAAGCAGTAACAGTAATCAAAATAATAACGAAGAGCGCAAACACGGCGAAGAACAGAGGGACATTACCTGTGGAAATCCCAATTGTTTATGTACCATTACCGACAACGATTCCAACTTAAATTAATTATAGCCCAAAGTCGTTTTCAATAATCCTTCATCAGTTTTTTTTTCTGTAAATTATTTATGATTGAAGAAGATTTTTCAATAAAAAAAGTTGCATAATTTATTTACATACAGTGTCCCCCATAATGTTCGCTATACATACATATATAAAGTATATTATATTGTGCCAATCTGAAAAACAAATATTGGGTCTATGTTTAAAAGAAATATCCCATATTTAATAATTCGTAATATTGGGACAATTTTTATCTTCAATATCGAATTTATTTATAAACTATACATATATTGTGCCAATCAGTATACAGTGTGTCCGAAATTCGAGTCTCTACATGGGGATTTCGCTTATTATGAGAGATACAGGGTGGCTCAAATTAAGAAAGTTTTAGGGAATTTATTGCTCATTTATATCCTGTTGTTAAATTTGCTTCAAAGTTTTCTGTTTCCTAGAAATCCGGGAAAAACTGAAAATAGCCAATTTTGTTTTTTGTCGATAATTCATAAACCATTAACTTTAGACTTTTCTAACTTTAACATTATTAAGACACTTTTTTGAGACGGATATTTTCGTGATTTGAAAACATTCCGATCGTCGTTTGTTTTCGAGTTATTAACCAAAACTTTCTTATTTCTTATGGCGGCCATCTTCGATTTCAACAAAATAATATTCTGCGAAAAAAATCCTTTAAAATGATGTATTACAAGCTATGAAAACGTTTTGCAAGTCCTTCAAAATTACAGTTGGAACCGATGTCTATCTCAGATTTTCCTAGTACTGCTTCGAAGATGACTGAAAATGGAAAAAAATGACGGGAATTCAAACGGAGTGACAGCGAGCTCCCCCCCTCCCACGCAAATTACATTTTTTTTCCATTTTCAGTGATGTTTGGAGCCGTTTTACTTGCGATAAAAAAATTAAATGGAAAATCTGATTTAGAGGATCGATAGTTTGGCATTTCGACTTATCAGTGGACTTTTCAAAATAAATATAAAAAAATTATCCTCAATTCGACAGACTGCTTTAGAAACATCCCCATTTTGCTTGACAAGGGTATTATGCCGAAACGACCCATCGGACCGGGCCCAAATTTGGGCTCAATAAAGCCTGCCTCAGCTACTATGTATGTGTAAAAAATTAATTGTCTAGCATGAAAATTAAAAAAGTTAGGAATTTTTTACGAAAATCACTTTTTTGGGGGGAAAAAATCATTTCTCGAAGACTAAAAGACCTACAGGGTTGTATGATGGCTCATTTTGAAGCTTGTTCAATGCTCTAAAACTATTGTCATAGAGATTATAAATTTAAGCGGATTTTTTATTCATGGATTAAATTCAAAGTTGGTGTCAAATGATAGCTTATGAAAATCTAAGATAGGAATGTAAAATCGGTTTTCCTCTAAAATTAACCGTTTAGGTTTTACAGTCTGTCAAAGATGCAAAAAAGTCAATTTTAAACTGTCAGTATTTCCGAAACAGTTTAAGATAGGTAGGTATATGACATTGTACATGAAATATGTCTAGAATTTTCCGCAGAATCCAGAAATATCATAATATACAGGGCTAGTCTTTCAAAAAAACATATACTTGTGTCACCACTACTAATCTAGGCCACCCTGTATACTGGAAAATAATTTAGGAATGTAGTACTCATATTTATCTACAAGTTTTGTATTTACTTTTTTTTTCGATCTCTGTTAGTATAGGAGATATGGACCACCGCGCTCTTAGTAACTCACCCTGTATATAGATATACTGCGCATGTGCAACGTCACTTATTTATTAGATAAGTGACGTCATAGACAGATTTCATAGTGTTGTATCTCCGTCAATTTTCGACTAAGAAGAAAAAGAAAAAACACGTGTTAACTTATTTTTCATGGACTATCGAAATCAGCAATAAAAAAATTTGATGCAAGGAGCCTATTAGCTTGAAAATATTCCAAATAAACTCAAGATAAACAAACAAACGTCAAATTTTCCACACTCACCATATTGAAAAATCACGTGGTTTGGAGAGCCTAATACTCTTGCAATTTGTAAACATCTAGCATCTTGCCGAAAGCCCTATAAATGTCATTGGTTAGGATAGCGTTCAAGTCACAGACTGCAGGCAGGGTTTGACCATCAAGCTACCACAATACAAACGCTACAATATAAGAAACGCTTTTATCCGAATACAAAGTTGGAAAATTGGGATGAGAGCTCGATCATATGATATGAGACATCTTAGATGTTCGTAGAAAAGGACAGGCCGAGACCGTTCTCAAGTTAGGCCATCTGCTATACTAAAGGGGAAGAAGATCCCCTGCATCAAGATGGGACGCGATTTGTGGTCCATAAAAAACACAAGTCTTGAAAATACACAGCATAAGCCCAAGAATCATATAGTTATTATCGGATCTGAATCAGAGATACAGGTTGGTTATTATAAAGGTATATCCACCATCCACCCATAACCGATTATGACGATGAAGTGGTGATGTTCCTTCACGGTGACATCTCAGTGGATCTAGACTAAATGCACTATGGATGTCTTCCATGACGAACATATATAGTGCTGTGACCCATAATCTTTCAAATACACGTCGTCTCAGAAGTACCTACTACATCTATTCGATGGCACAATACTGGAATACTATAACAGTTATCGTGCACAAAGATGGTGATATTGCTATCTTGAAAAACTATCGACATTACACATAAGCTCTCACATAAAAATCATAACAGAAATAGTCACAAATAAGCTCGACAGTTACGGAACGTAATTTCTTGCTTCAAAAAACGTCAATTGGAAATTTGGAATACCTCCTATCCCCTTGAAAAACGGACACCATGTATATCGCCAAAATTATTCACAAACATGCTTGAATATATCGGGTCTTCAAAAAAAAAAAACCAATCAAAGATTGCTTTGGTTACGAAAACGTACGTCGCATTATTGTTTCTTTATTGGTCAGCATTTTTGACATGACATTTTGACATTAAATTTCATTGACTGACATTGTCAAAATTAAAGAAAAATATTGCTAAGACATACGTTTAAAAAACCATAGCAATCTTTGATTGTTTTTTTTTTTTGAAGACCCGATAGGTTCAAAGTGTTCAAATGGGACGATCTGGGAATAAACAGAAATGCCAAACATTTAAATCACCTCAGGTTAGCTGACGATATCGTTCCAATTCTTGATACATTGGACAAGGCCAGAAGCATGATGGAAATTCTTCCGGAAACATCGAGAAAAGTAGGACTTAAATTTTTTTATGGAAAACTTCATAGTGGCTAATTTGCTCTGAACGGTGGAGAGATCGAGCAGGTATCATCCTATAAATATAGTTACTTCTTCTTCTTCATCAACCCATATTTTTCCACTCTTGAACGTAGAACTCTTCTCATCTTATCCACTCTTCTCTGCTATATGCAGTTCTCATCCACTGTTTACCAGCGACAGTACGTTGACCCACCTTTTTTATTGTGGTCGTACTACAGTCTTTTTTGTAATTATTCTTGGCATGTCTCAGTTTCTTCAACCACCTATCTTCGGATGGTCTAACCACTAACCACATGCCTTGCGCAACGCTATTTCATCCTTACTATTTCCTCTATTACATTAATAGCCTTTGTTCTCCTAATTTCTTCGTTTTTAACTCGGGTAGATAATTGGGGCAATCTACATCTGAGCTTTTCTTAAAAAGTGTACCTGTCCTGATTTGAGACTGGTACATTTTTCTCCAGGTAGGTGGGTCTATCAGAAATCTGCCTACCGGTACCGGTAATGTTCTAACTTATTTCATTGTATTACTCAGTTCGTGTTCGAGTTTTTCTAGTCATTGTTGGATGCTCATAAAAAACTTATATTGTATGTAGCAATGTGGGTATGTGTATTCTGGATGGTCTGGGTGCTTTCATATCTTCTCAACTTTCTATATCTTGGATACGAAATTCGCCTGAGCCGAGACAATAAAATGAGTGAGCTTTAAACCAGGGTAAGGCTTATTTAGACAGCTTGTGTAAATATAAAACAAATCTTCTGATCGAACATACCAATATGCTTCAAAAAGAAAGTTTTTGAAAAGTGTGACCTCCAGTCCTACCGTTGCTGAATAAAAAGATAATGAGTAAGTTTCGAGCCGCCCAACGAGCCACGAAAGAAAGCATGCTAAGATGTGTCTTTGAGAGATAAAATACCAAATGCAGAAATGAGAAGAAGAACTGGTGTCAAAGATGGTATAAGAGGGATAAAACCATCAAAATCGAACGGAAGAGCTGCATAAACCAGAAAAATTATCAAATGGAGACCAAGACATCAAAATTTCCGAAACTGGGGTAGATGATGTAAGACGTATAATACCGCGAACTGGGTTCGAATTGCTCAGGAGTGGTAGGTAACATCTACGAGAGTACTATGTCCAGCAGTGACCACAGAGGCTGAGGATGGCGACGATCATGTTGAACTTCCTTATTTTACTAATTTCTCTAGCAGGAAAGCTGCCAATATTGGATTTTCGCTCAGATTTGCAAAGTAGTAGTTTCTGGGCTAACCCGCCTGTGTTCACCAGGTGATTATGGAATAGAGCTATTGGAACCCGCAGATGTAAATTCAGATAACACTTTTATTACGACTATGAGCACCAATGTCGCGAGACAGAGATCATTCTTCAGAACACATGTAAGTATTTTTGGGAGTTTATTAAGAGAGTTTTTAGATAAACCCACGGTTGAGGTATATAACGTTTCGCAGATCTTATTGTTCTTATCCCAACAAAGAGAATCATGAAAGGGAAAAAAAATTATAGAAATACTTTTGGTCGAAGTAAACGCGATAATGTCAAGAAATTTGCAGTTAACATAGTATAAAGCACCAAGTTCAGAAAAAGTAGTTGCGGATCCACAGCGAAAACTGGGTACCGGTGCTTTGACTCGCAAATTTTGTGGTTACGATAAACCTAGAACCGACCTAGAACGACCTGTTATGGTTTCTTTCGAAGATATAACGTTTGGTTTGTCTCATTTTACAATTCTATCTAACTTAACCCATTGAATTTGTATGGAAATACTGTATTGACTCAAATCGTTGTTCAAATATAATAGGTTGCTTTATTTCTCTCCAATGTAATCATTGTCAGTTCGAAGACCCTAGTCATAAAACATTCAAAACTTAACTTATTTAAACACAACTTTCTGGTAGTCTATTTGCCATAAGACGTTCTTTAATTGCCAAATCGTTCATTTGTAAATCTGGCGTTAAACTAGATGAATTCTTGTTGATCAGACACAGATCCTTGGGTCTGGATTCCCAAGGGAATGTACCAGCCATTACTACGGGATTACTGTACTGATGATTCTGGAAATTATTGTATAAGGTAAATACCTATTAATTATTGTTGAAATAATAGAATTCTTCATTACCTGGTTTGTTACTAGAGGCATGTCCGAAGTGGGATAGCTCAGGTGAGGAATGGGTCCCTGTGGCCCGTTATTCGATTCTAAATGATATGGTACATTTTCTGCAGCTCCTGAAATGCAAATAAATGTGTCGATCCCATCTGTATCCTACTACCAAAAGTTGAACCTAAAATTACTCACCATAGTTTACTGGAATAATATCTGGATCTATTTCGTCGATTTTTCTAGGTGATGCACTTTGATTCAGAGTGTTATTCGAAGACTTAGTACACTGCGTCTTTGCACTGGGTACTTTTATGTCAAACATCACTTTTTGGGAACTGCGTGTTCCTGTTATTAAAATTACAATGATTGCTACGATAGTCACTGTGCTGCCTAGGAGGATACCCAAGAGTGAAGAAAATCCTGCATCACCGTCTGTAGCTAGAAAAAAATATACTCATAAGTTCAGAACATTGGCCTATAAGAACCCATAGGATAGTAGGATAGTCAATAAAATTTTGAATTATTCAAAAGCATTTTATTACACTGGTGTGGTTGTCAGGACATGTTGAGGTTGCAGACAACTATAGAATCTAATGCAATATCGGAAGTAGTCAAAACTTAGTAGGAATTCGGGAAAATGATAGTCAAGTCAGATAACAAAATTGCTCAAGCGACTATCGTAGTTGAAACAATACCTAAATACTTAAAAATGAAAATACATACCAGTTTTTTTTTGAGAATCACCAAAAGTCGCTAATTCTAAAATTACCGCATCGCTTCTACCTTTAGAGTTCACAGCAAAAACCGCAATCGTAAAAGTTACGTCTGCTTCTAAATTGTCCAAGTAAAAATATGGTTCATTGAACGAAGTGACGTTGTATTTAGGCACCATTGAGTTTTTAGTGTACAGTTCCAGTAGAAAATGTGGAGACAAGCCTCCATCGAAACCAGGTTGACAGTAAACTTCTACTGAGTTACTTGTTTTGCTGCTTAAAGTGCAATTAAAGACTGGAAATGGTTTACCTAAAGTTGAGGCAATATTAATTTATAAGAACTATTTATGCAAATATTCAAGTTTTTACCTGCTGCAACTATTTGGAAAACACAAGGATTAATCTGATTCCCAAGTATATTCGCGGCCCAGCAGGACAATAAGCCATAATCCATCTCAGTTATTCGAGTATACTTAAGTATGCTTAAGCTGCCGTTACTGGTTTTGGTGAAACGATCCGATTCCAGCTCTATAGTTTCACCTGAATTGTTAAACTTCCATTTGTACCTCTATAAATATTAGTTTCACTTTTCCATTAGGATATTTGAAGAAAGATTGATGCTAACCGTACCTTTGCTGACGGATCAGATTCAATTTCACATATTACATCGATGCTTTCGCCTGTCGAGGCTCCTACGACGACGATTTTATCGTTTTTGCACATTGGTTTATCTAAAAATTTTTTAAATGAGATCGATAATCCCCACAACCGCAAAATCAATTTTGTTTCATAACTCTCCCCTTTCATCACTCTTTAAAGCGGCGCTTTCGCCACGTTTTCAGGAATCGCTTGGCTTACTTATAGTTTTCAGAGACCCAAGAGAAATATATACATTAAACAGATTACACTCACATTGTACTCGAAAATGCAGCTCGTCACTAACAGTTTCCCCTTCTGAATTGACAACCGAACATCTGTAAACTCCTGCGCTCTGTTTGGTGACTTTTTGTAGCACCAGGCTCTGGTTGCTGTGTATGATGCGGTTGGACATGTTGTGAGGCAAAAATATACCCTGAAATATTCAACAATATAAACTGATCGCCTAAATAAATGGATATTTTTCAGTTTCGACAAAATCTGTATTTATTTGGAAGTTGAATAATAAATTATAATAAAGTGCAACTGAAAATAGTAGTCTCCATTTTATATGCATTTTATATGTGTTGCGAGAAAGAAACACAGAGGCCTCTAGAAGTTTCTGAAAAGTTTAAATTTGCATTATAGAGCCTCCTTACCGTATTTTTTGTTTGAAACTTAGAGTGGAGAAAAAAGAAATGCGTTCGAGAGCTTCAAGTTAATACTCGTAGACCAATTGAATTGATTTAGCATTTCCAAGTTTATTTAATTGTTTATCTGTTGAAATCAATGCATTAAAAACCAACAAAACGTTGGTTGAATGAGAAACTATTATATGAAATGGAGCTGAATTCAAAGTTTCAGTAAGAGCTTTTCTGAAATTGTTTCAAAACCTCACCCTGCGGTTTTTTTTTTTTCATTTCAAAGGTTCTAAAAATTACTTACACCGTGTAACCAAGTGAGTCGTCTTATTGGAGGATTGGCTTTGACTTTACATTCAAAATACACATCGTCGCCTTCTTTAATGTCGCCAGCGTTGAGAGTACTTCCAAGGACTAAGTCGACAATGGGAGGATCTTTGAAAACAAAATATGATTTTTGGTTGTGAATGAAACAAAGGCCTGTCGGTTTTCATCATTATTTCTAATGTTTTTACATATTTATTACAAAAACGGTTTTTCAAGTAAGTCTTAAAAAACTTCAACTTTGTCTTGCTACACTTTTGTGACACCCTGTAAACTTGTAGCTAATTTCACTAAAATTTTTTTGACAGTTCTATCAAGCAGTTTAATTTTAGGGTTGTTTTCACTCGACATTGCCTCATCTCCGATTGCCTCGAGCATTGCTGTCGAATAATTTTCTATCCGAATAACCCTCGAACATTGATAAATACTTAAAAATTTTACAAGAACTTTCTCAAACTTGTTCCTTATAGAAAACAGACCTCCGCAAACGCGTCGGTTTGTTTTCAAGCAACAAGCTTTCGAAATCTGTTATAAAATGTTTTCGGACAATTGGGCTATTACTACTGTTAAGTTTCTGATATCACCTACAACTTTCACATTTGACATTTCTGGGTACCTCTTCAAACAGGTGAGATATGTATGGGTGCAAATATAGACAATTAGGTAACCGGTTCTGAATAAATTCGGTATCTATTGGAAGTGACCATTGGCCTGAAGAAGAATATCGACCCTTCATCGAACCAGCCCGCAAAAAAGACTGGGCTAAGTAACTGTACAAAACTCCTAAGAAGTAAGGATAAAACAACAATTTCAAAGAAGCAAATACGAAGAGATATGAGAATATATAATGCAGAGAAGATACAATGTACCTACTAACGGAATTTTGAGGTCACCTGCGCAGACAAGACCAGCGCGGTGTGGCTAATGAACACGGTGCCAACACTCAAGCCCTGGGAGGGCGCAGTGCTAAAGGCGTTAACAGCCAAGGACTTACCAAAGCCAGAAACCTGCACCCTCTGCATTCTGGACGAGAAGGAAGAAAGACTGTTCGACGAGAGAATCCTCTTGAAGCTCTCAGTGGGAAGCAGAGGCCTGAACACAAGCCTGTGGTAGTCCTGGGGCGCAGTCCCAATGGACAAAGGTCTTACCTGGACCCTCTCTATGGACAAATAGTCGCTAGAGGGCCTAGAAAAACTGATCATGAGCCCCTACTTCGGATTTGGAAGGTTGAAGTTCAGAAGGAAGCGGGAAAAGAAGCCCGAGGACAGGGTCCAGCACACCGCTGTAGGTCCTAAGGCCAGTACATCGAAGGCCGATGCTACGGAACCGGAGGAGGAGGAACGGGCGGGCGAAACTGAGGAGGCACTAGTCCGCTGAAAAGACATATAGTCTACCAACAAAAGGACGTTACCATGGAGGAAGAGATCCTACTAAGCAGCCGCTCTCACAGCCCTTCTTCGTAGAAATAAATACCCTAAAGATTATCCAAATCAACCATCACCATGCAAAGGCTGCTTTGGACGGGTAGGTTTCAAAGAGAAGGTCTCGACATCGCCCACATTCAGGAACCGTGGCTAAAAAACGGAGCTATCAGAGGACTTAGTCCGCCCGGTGGTAAGTTACTGTATCATACAGAGGCTAACAACCCAAGAGCCTGTATTCTTGACAACAGTAATAAAACTAGCTGCTCACTAATACTCTTGCTAATACCGCTATACTCCGGTGATTTTATCACAGTACAGGCAACCGCAACAATAGCAGAGGAAGGGCTCACGTCCTGGGTAATCTGCTGCGTCTACTTCCCTGGAGAAGAGAGGACTGGCCCTCCATATCTGATGGAGGATGCAGTGGCCCACTGCAGGGGAAGGGGACGACGACTAATCGTTGGAGGCGATGTAAACGCCCACTTCACAATCTAGGGAAGCAACAGCACTAATGGCAGTGAGTCCTTGCATGAATTCATAATGAGTGAAGGGTTAGATTTAGCTAATATAGGCGCAGAACCCACTTTCGTAACATCAGTCAGGTGTAGGGTTTTTGATTTCACTTTTTGTAGGCACGGTGTCAACGATAACATTACGAACTGGCATGTCTCAGACAAACCATCATATTCAGACCATCGCCACATAAGGTTCGATATCACAATTTCGAAATTGGAGATTAAAAAATTCCGTAATCCAAGGAGGACTAACTGGCACGGCTACGAGACAGCAATAGAGGAGTCACTCAGAGGGGGCGTGGTAACCATTTCCACAGCGACGGTTCTTGACTTGACGGTAGATCGCCTAAGCGAGGCAATACAAGTGACCTATCAGGATAACTGTCTGGAGCAAACAAGACAACAAAGAAAAAAGACAGTCTGGTAGAACAAACACCTGGAGGATCTTAGATCCGACGTTAGAAGGCTATTTAATAGAGCCAAAATAAATCAGGACTGGAATACGTACAGAATAAAACTTACCCAGTACAATAAGGAGATCCGCAAGGCAAAAATAAAGCCATGGAAGCGATTCTGCCAAAAAAATCACAGAAACGCTGATGCGCGCTAGGGTGCACAAAGTCCTTGCAAGGGAAGGTACTGCGGGCGCTCTCGGCCCCCTAGAAGGATCGAATAATAGATACTTTCCAGGGTCATCTATAATCACTGATCAATCTAGACCGACAGATCAAATCCGAAAGTCTAGAAGACCATCAAAGGTGGACTGGGACAGCGCAAAGGAACTGGTAACATATGAGCGAGCTGAATGGGTCATAGGCGAGTTACACCTCTCCAAATCGCCAGGCCCGGATGGAATCTACCCAGCCCTGCTCTAGAACGGTCAGGACATACTGATGCCACACCTTTGCAAAATTTCCAGCACGTGCATTGCTTGAGGCCACATGCCAGAAGTTTGGCAAAAGGCCCTAGTCATATATATCTCCTCGTTCCTGTACAAAACTCTGGAAAAATTGTGGATAGATACATTAGAGACCGCACATTGACACTCTATCCTCTAAGCGATCGCCTGTATGGCTACAGGAAATCCTAGGGACTCCGCACTGGATGACTCTAGATATAGAGAGTGTGGTTTAAAAACGTTCCAACAACATCACTAATGAACGCACTCAAGCATAGGAATATCCTGTATACCGAATGCAACTGGATAGAAGCCAGTCTAAGAAACAGTATAATTACATCTACTCTGGATGACACATAGTAGAAGCAATAGTGGGAAGAAGCTGCCCGCAGAGAGGCGTTTTATCGCCATTGTATTGGGCGGTCCTAGTCGACGATCTCCTGGCAAAAATGGCCAAGGAGAGATTCTACTGTCAGGCATCTAGAACATGTCTCAGAAAGAACTGAAAAAGCACTGAACCTAGTAGATAACTGGTGCAGGGAGGAAGGCTTGTCAGTTAATCCGCAGATAACCGTAATTGTACCGTTCACAAAGAACTGAGTACTAAGAGGACTTCGATGTCCTAAGGTTTATGGAACGGAAATCCCCTACTCAAAAGAGGTCAAATATCTAGGAGTTATTTTTGACCAAAAGATGACCTGGGGTCCACACTTCAGTTGTCCAGAAGGCTAAAATTTCCATTGGGAGATGCAGAACGCTTTGTGGAGAAAGCTGGGGACTTAATCTAAAGAATTAATAATGAATCTATGGTTATACAAAATGGTGGATAGACAGACAGTTTCAGAGCTGGTGGCAACGAACACTAGGACAACAACAGGCAAAGTAGTTTATCAAATTCTGCTCGCCCAAGTTCACAGCGGACCTACTAAGCCACAGCCGCAAGATTGTTGAATAACGGTAGAACAATTAACAGGGCATCGTAAAGTCAACAAGCATCTGGAAAAAATGAGCTTGGTACAGGATAGCCTAGCCTGTGCAGGTTCTGTCAAGAGGTGGAAGAAACTGCCTTACATGTATGGTGCCATTGTGAAGCGCTATGCAGGCTTAGGTTTGCGAGGCTTGGTGAGGGGTTAAAATGGGTAATAAACTTAAAATGGATAATAAACTTTAAATCTTTGTGAAATTTATTTGCGACTTAGAAAAGTTTAAGCAATACTCACAGACAACGTTAATATTCCAAGAAGTTTCCAAAAACAGTCCAGTCGCGTTAGGGTTTTCAGCTCTGCAAGTTATGGATTTTGCATCGTCTTCTGTTGACGGTACGAAACTCAACTGGCTAATTGTTACATTTTCCATAATGTCCTCCTTAAAAGCAAAAGTAGGTAATAATGCGAATTATTTTACTTTTTTATACAGAATTAGTAGTGAATTTCACGGATGTTGAGGTTCTTCAATATATTTTTACTCTTTTACCTCTTGAATGCAGTAGTAAAGAGTTCCAAAGAAAATAATTACTTGACAAATCAGGTTACTAACAAACTTCCGAAAACAAATTAAGTGTCTCTAAATGAACGAGTTTAAAAAAATGTTCACAAAGAGGGTCTGTCACGGAAAAGATATTAATAGGAGACTTAATTCAATATAGTGTAGGGTGAAATAACGTTGTTTCTTTTCTTTTATTTATCTATCTCTGCTTGGTTGTATTTATCCTTTGAATAACTTCAAAGGATAAATGAGATACTTTCAACACCAAATTTAATAAAAGTGGCACAAATAACTGAAAATATGGTGCTAGTCAGTATTGGCCAATTCGTAACCTCTGTCCTTTTATACTTGTTGCAGAAGTTATTCACACTGCGATTATTAACAGTTATATAAAAGACGCTAAAAAACGATATATTCTTACTTTTGTCCGTCTGAGAGGACGTTTTCCCTTGTACCACGTAATTATGGCTGGTGGCCGAGAACCGTAAGACTCGCACGTTACTTCGTATCTTTTATCAGCTACCATTGGACTGTCAGTCTTCACTATACTGATTGTCAGTGGCTTTACTGCAAGAATAAAAACTAGGTTACATAAATGAGAAAGTTTAGATAACTGAAAAGAATATGACATAGGTACTTACAAAAAAGATTCAGCAGAACCACAGCATCCTTAGGTTTAGTTAGCTTAGTATTTTGAGCTTGACAAGTGAAAATTGCATCCAAATCCTTCCTAGACACTGAGGTATACTTCAATTTGTTCTCTATAACATCTCCTGCGACATGTTCGGATTCGTCATCTACAACCAAGCCGTTTATCAACCATCTAACTGTCGGCTGAGGTTGACCTCCTACAACTCTACAGGTCAGTAGAATGTCGGCTCCGACCTTGTGAGGTCCCACTGACCCATTTAAATGAAGACCCAATTGGTCCAAGATAATGGGAGGCTCTGGTGGTACTAGAAAAAAAAATATCCTAGTCAAATGCATATCGCTGTTCTAAATCTATTTTTGTTTGTTTAGATTTTGACTGGTCAGAATATTTCACAGGAGATGAATTTACTGGGGAAAGCTGCAATTTTACCCAAAGAAAATTTGTTTATTTAAAACTCGAAAGCTGACTGCATCATGTGCGTTTTCTGTAGCATATTATCCAGATATTGACGATCACAAATTTGGAGAAAAAGTAACGAATAACAACAATGCAAAAAGGTTGATAAATGGATATTTTCAGCATAAAGAAATACATAAATACAGGTACAAAGATGATTCTAAACAATAAAATTCGGAAATTATTGACACTGCAAACACTACACTAACACTATTGCAAGACAGAGATCAAACATACGAAAAGATTGAGGCTAAGAAATACAACCTGAAATCTCTAGAAAAACAAAGCGTAAACGGGTTAAACATGAAAAGGTTGGACCAAAAATTAAAGAGCAGTCTGAACTTCCAAAACCTTGAAATGGATTACCAGCATATCAAAGGCATTCACTGCATGCATGTATTTGATGCCCTAGGCAAATACGAAAAAATCGGAAGAATACAAAAACCTTTTTGATGGGATGAAGAAATCGAGAATGGAAGACATAAGAAAAAAAAAAAACAGTACTGAGTTTAAATAAAGACAAATAAAATATAAAAAGGAGCACAAAGCAAGAGTACAGCATAAACTAGTAGTAGGATACCGAAAAAAGATGAATCATGGGAAAGAAACTGTAGGTACATAATATATTAATATTTACCTGGGAGGTAAAAGGAAACCCAGAAAGTTGAAGAATAGGCAATGAAAAACATAAGGATAACAAAAACCGAAGTTAATGCTACTACTATAACACCCCAGCAATGGAAAGAGTATTTCGAAGAATTTCTGTAAGAACAACGGGCAGATTTAAAAAAACAATGAAAACAGACACAAAAGATAAAAACCGCAGGATCGCCAATAAGAGTTGTAAAACAAGAAGATGAAAAACAGTGTAGCTTCTTGGAAAATAGAAGCGCGCCAGGCCCAGAAGAAATATATGGAGAGCTTTTATAGATCATATGATAACGGAGCCTTGATGATATTTGGCAACCTCTTCAAACAACCAACCTTACCACGCCAAACGCAGCTCCAGCGTGGGTCGACTTCTATATTCCGAGCTATTCGTGGAGGCTAAATGGATAAGAAAAACAAAAACACAGAAAGGCGTGATGTCACCGCAGTCGAGACAGTCAGCGTACGAGACCCTCTCACACAAGAGAAAGCTGCAATAAAAAAAGAGGAGTATCAAAACCACGGAGAGAAGATACTACTACAAGCAACCTCTTGTTTAACCTGGAGGTCTTGATAACCCACTGAGAAGAGGCCTCAGTTTTCCCAGTTTTTCCGATTTCAGCGCTCCGACAGAATCCAGAAAACACTGCAATATGAAGAACTAGCCATCTGTCTTAGACATATCAGGGGCATTTGAAAATACTTTAACAAGAATGCATTCGTCAAAATAGGTGGCCAAAACCATATCCACCTGTGCTGGATGTGCGAGACTCTAGCCACGAAATTTGCAGAGACTGACGTAGATGGGCGAACCATTCACTAGGAATGGTTGCAGTCAGTGGAGCTGAATTTAAACTTATCGAACCACACTAGTAATATTCACAAAAAGAACAAAACTTCCAAGCCTGTGGAACATTCGCCTCAATGGAAGTAAAGTTAACTGAAAACAAGAAGTAAAATTTCTAGGAATAAACCTAAACTCCTCTGGCACATAGCGCTAAATAACTCATCCGTAGAAGCTGCAATTTTATTTTGTGATCGTCAAAAACTTTGCTATTTGGAGACTCGATGGTCCAGGCATAATAAACTGAACATTTTGATTGGTACCAACCAGCCATTTATAATGTTTTCAACCAAAGCACTTCAGTGGGCTACTTAAAATGTTTCACGAAGTTAGATAATTGCAGCATCGCAAAGTTCAATTGTCAATTGGAGCAACAATATTCCATAATATAACAGGGGTCAATTCTCACTTACCAATCACAGTCAAGTTGTACAATACGCTTCGCGTTTGCGCATTCCTAAAGTCCACTCTACATCTGTATTCTCCTTCGTCGTGACGTTTAACGTCCTCGATGACCAATTGCGCAGGCTCAGATACCGCCTGGAAGTACGCTCTTGTGCCGAATACTTCCGGTGAGGACCAGTGTTTCGCTTGCGACATTGATTTGCCTCGTACATCAAAACTGAAATGAACATTGAAAATTAATTATTATTTGACTAAAGTGCACTCGAAAAAATAACCATTGTTAGGTCAGCAATCATATTTAGTTACTCATACTATTGTCCCAATACCAAAATATATGGTAATGCAGATTAAAAAAAAAAAAAATAGGTATACCTATTCAATAGTTAGAATAACACTTAGGTTATTGTTGACATTATTATGTTTGAATCGCAAATATGTTATTGCTGAGGTAACTAAGTATAGATTGTTAAATAAATATATTGTCGAAACAAATATAAAGAACTGCGAAAAACATAATGTGATGGCAATAATAGGCTATATTTGATTCAATTATATATTATATAGAATCTAGCTACCGAAACAATACCGTATAAGTGGGATACATGTAACTGTGTGATTCCGATACCGATACCAGTCAATTACATTAGCGATATCATTACCGTATATGACCGTGTGTGACGGAACTAGCTATTGCCCCTTTTTGGGCTTCAGTCAAACCGCACCAGGGATGCCAAAAGTTTTTACTTTAACTGATTGTAAAAATTAACCATTAGGTGTTGGATCATTTAAGCCTTGTGTTGGGTTAGCGGTTCCTTGATTCTCATTTATACAAATAAAACACAAATAGAATAGTTATCAATTTAATCAATAAATGAAAGTAATTCGGTATAGACAGCAATCAAATCCTATCTAAAAATTCCTAATTGGACGTCCAGTCGAACTACATCTTGATTTATAAAAGGTAGGGAAATCTGATAATGATAATAATATCATTTATGGTTAAATGTTAAGTGAACGAAAACACAAATTAGCTAATTAAATGCACGAGAGCACAACATAAATAATTCATCAACTTCAATCACTTCACTGTAATCACAAAATGTATATTGATCCTTGAAAGTTCTTTTATTTATTGAGAGTTAACAATTTGAGCACTTTTCTGCGGAAGTCCGTAAACAATATGTGCAAGAAAAGTCTTTATATATGCTCAGTTTCTATATAAAAATGTACAAATGTTAATTTCACGAGTGTGAAAACCAAATTTCTGCACTAAACGTTAGAAAACCCTTCAATTTATAGTGCATTTTAAGCGAATCACTCATCAGTATTTATTGTTCGACTGTTAGAGAAATTGTAACGGTTTTACTTGCTTAATCCGGTTCATGCAGATAAATCCACAAAGCGATTATTTATCCATTTATCACCACTATTTACACTGGCAGCTAGGTAATTTTCCACTGAGATGAAAAGAAAACACAACGATATACAGGTGCGTTGGAGCCTGTCGAGAGTGAGAGAGATAGAGCCAAATACAAGCGTAGGAGAATTTTGCTCGTCCGAGGTGACTTGCAACAATTAGGGGTTAATTGCATACATTGTAATCAATAATATAGACCATGTCAGGCCTCGAGACACAGAGAGTAGTATTTTACTATAAATCGCGCATACTAACGGGGTTTTTTGGGGGTTTTGCCACTGGAGAGCATTCAGAGGGCGCAAGGGTGCGAACTCTTCGCTTATTCTAATAGTACTGAAGAATGTGCGTTGACTAGACTCTGCCAGGGGAGCAGGTCGCAAAAAATTAGAAAACAATGTGGCGGCTGAACAATTAAAGCGACGAGAAAGGTCCACTGCTTTATAAGGTAATGAAGAAACCTGTAATTTTATTGGTTCAAAGGGTTATTGTTGCCTGTTTTTACAGGATAAATAGTCCAGCAATAGCGTCTATTTTTAGAATATTATTTTTATGGTAAATAATAGAAACTCAGATATATTAAATTAGAAATAATAAAAAATAAACCTGTTGTGGGTTATTTCCCCAACACCGTATAGTTTGTGGAATCGCCATAAGTTCATGTTGCTCTACCAACACGTTTGATTAGGAGTCCCATACGTACCCGGGCCTCAGCCTCAGGCGCCGACGCGTGACGGCGGCAAGCAAGCTATTTTACTCTATCACACTAATTCAGTTCAAAAATGGCCAGGAACCATGAATAGTTTCTCTCTCACGAGTGCGTTCGCTTACTTTTTAACAATTTGATTCCCCTTCTAATGCCCTTCTATATATTTTATTTGGGTGTTATCGTAAACGTAAACCTCGTGAACTATTAAAGCTCGCTGTAAAGTGATTCTAAACCAAGTAAGTGAATACCTATTCCAAATATTTTTGTTGATCCATTTTTTTAAGTTTACATAATATGCCTATTTTTAAGAACAGTGTTGTAAGTAAGAACCGGCCAAGAAGAAACCAGTGACGTCGTCACTGACGAAATTTCTTAAATATTTTGAAATTGTTTTTGTTGATCTCCTGTAGGTACCTATTTAAAAAGCATTGGTAATTCTAACAAATTACATGAGAAGCAAGCAGTTTTGGTATGACAAGCAATATAATCTAATTGAAAAAAGCAATATTATTTGTGAAGGAGCAATAACAATTAACAATATATTTATGATACATTTAACTATGTGTGGTTGTGCCTATATCAACCATATTATATTGTTGCATTATACATATTTCTGGTTATGATAGCGAAAATTTCTCTGAGTGTGACAGTGGATACTTTAATCGTCCCCTTGATAGTGTCTTTCAAATTTGATACGCATCTAGTAGCCTCTATTTGATTGGACCAAAGGACGAGCGATGATTGATAGAAAAATGTCTTAAATTTTTTTTTTAACCGCGTTTTATAGCTGTAGGAAAAGCCATTCCCATTCAAATAAGCGCCCATGTCCCATGCCTGGGAAATATAAATCTCCTTTTGGCCTTAAAATAAAACTGGGTGTTTGTGGAGGATCAAAAAGCACTAACGAAAGACATAGTGAAGTACAAAACAAATATTTCGTTTTCTTCCTTCTTTCGGGTCTTGACAAGAAAAATCTCGACTGGCAAATAAATATAGAATAGATGGCGGTTGAGTTAAGCCTTGGTTTCCTCGAAAGCGGCACCGCAAGCAAGCGTTATATTAAGGCAAATGACGTCACAAAAAATGTTCAATGTTCTTCATGGCAAGGGCCGGTGAGAGTCACCGTTAACGTAATATGACGTAAATATTTCCACCGCTATGTGACGTCATTTACTGTAATATTACGGTCGCTATTTAACGGTGCCGCTTTCGAGGAAACCAGGGCTTGCGGGTGGGATTTCATCGTCTGATATGTTTGTTCTTTTAATTTTGGCCTTATGGGGAAAAATCTAATAAAAGTATGTTTTCCAAAAAAGGCCAGGTTTCTCTCTTTTTTCATTTTTCTTAAAGACTTAACTGACCGCCCAGACAATTCCCCAAACTGATTGACTATTTGAATATGTGAGCAGACTACAGCTGCTGAAAAAAATTAGAAATTTCTCTGCTCCGTTGAAAAGTTTAGACATTACTTAGAGTCCGGAACATTCGTGACCACACTTTTATTGGCCTAAAATGATAAGAGATGTCAAAAAATATGTTTCGTAATACGCTAAGTCGGTAATGTAAAGTCATCTGGTTTACTCTAAAGACGGCAATCCAGTAACAATGGTTTGAAGTTCGTCAGAATCGTCACACGGCAATAAGAGGATGTTCTATTCATGCATTAGGATGTAGGTAAGGTTTTCTTACTCTTGAAAGGCAGCAGAAACATTTGCTATAACAAAAGATAAAATGATCTTTCGTAGCCAATCCCTTGAAAATTAATGAAAGTCATAAATAGGTTGTTTTAATTCCATTATGTAGGTACCTACCTACATCATTTATTCTCAAATCATATGATACCAATAACTGTTTGTTTTACTAATGGGTTATTGCAGGTATTTTGAAAATACAATATAACAAATAATAATAATAGATACGACTAAAGTCATAAACAATCATTATCAGTCGAAATAATTAATTGGGGTTAATATTTATATATATTCGAAATTAAACGACATTATTGTATAGGTTGAATTTTTAAAATGTCCTTACTAGATGAGATAATCTCGTGTATTTATATAAACATAAATTATTTTAACATCAAAAGGATTACATTGAAAAGAATTGGAAATATAGTGAAATAGTTGTAGTGACGAAGAAATAAACCACCAAGAAAAACCGCCAAGAATAAAATAATTGTTAATAGATCTGGTTATTTTGTTGAAAAATGAAACAAACAACAAACAAAACATAAATCAAACTGGAAAAATGAAATCAAAATCAACTACAACTTACCGAAAATTAAACACCCCAGGAGACCACAACACTCAACCAGTTACAGCCGGAACTTCTAGTAAAATGATTTGACCAGCGAATAAAGAAACAACAGAAACTGAAATCCCTTCTAAAAGATCCGATAAGTGGGGTCATACAAAAATAGATGATTCAATTGGAATGTGTCCCTGAAATGCGGCACTTTACTAGCATGACGCCATCTGTCACTGAAACCAAAATTTCCGGGAAAGCACCATAAATCAGGCGCGTGCTGTATGCCGACAACGAAACGGTACCGCATTCCACTAAAAAGAGGGCCGAAATGACGAAATCTTGATGTCAAAGCACTCATAAAATTGGTGGAGAAATTAGGCCGCCGAAAGAACAAAGGAAGGAAGGAGAATATTTTTATATAAAAAGCCTGAATTGCGATAAAAATAGCAGAGTCGGTTTAGAAGAAGTATCAGTCAAGAACGGTCAAAAATGTCAGTCGAGAACAGTCAGAACGGTCAGTCAAGTGACAGACGCAGCAAGCAGAGTCCAAAGTCGAAGATAGTACGAAAAGTTTCAAGGAGGCAGTGCGAAAATCTCGGGTTCATAAAGTCAAGTCGTGAAATTAACGTTTCAGTAATTACGTGTGTGCCAGTAGAATTTTAAAGTAATAAATGCATCTTGTAAGTAAATTTACACTGTAAAGAAAGGAAATTTGTACTCTTTATAAAATAGGACAAAAAGTTAATGAATTGATAAATTTACGAAAGTTAAATAATTATCCCAAAAGGAATTGAAACATTTTTAAGATGATATTTCATGATTAATAGTAAAATAAGAAAATTTGATAAGGCAAACTTTTGATACGAAACTTACCTATTGGAATTTTTATAATAGAATTAAGGTATTTGTGAGAAAAGAGTGAATTTTTAAATAAGTCAGAGTAAAAATTTTGGGAACTCCAGTTAGTTTTAAACTAGGCAATAAGTTTATCAGTTAAAGTGATTCAGTTTTTTGCTGGTTTAGTCGTGATTTTTGTATTTTATTTTTAGTGCGAATCGAATAATAGTAATGTAAATTGGAAGCACTAAAATTCATAGATTTTTCAGCTGGGTTCCTTTCTTGTAAAAATCTCATCTCATACTAGAGATGAGCTAAGTCGCGAATATTCATTCGCAGTTATAACTATGATTGCGATTTTTCATTCACTGTGAATATAAACTGCGATCGAAAACTGCGAATGACGTCATGATGCTTTTGGTTCCATACGCCGTTATGCGATTGCGACGTAAGTAGGTATGTTAAGTATGCTATTGCTATGTAATTGGTTCTGTTTTATGATGTACCTATAGAGTAGTTTTTAGGTGTTTACTGCGAATGATGCCATCCTATAAATTATTTAAAAAAAATAAAATAAAACGAGGCAAGCTTTATTTTTTCACAAGGTATAGTAAATAAATGAGCTAAATTAAGATAACTCCGCGCCCTTCGCGGAATAAATGCCTTGCTTGCACGCAGGATGCGGCTCATAGCGACGAGACGATGCGAACGATCAACGAACGTTCATGCGAACGCAGTCTTTTATTATTTTTGATTGCTAGCATCGAAATGATAGTGAACGCAGCAATTTGCTACGTTCACTATACACTTTGATCACTAGGCGATATCGCTCTGTCTCTGTTCGGTGTGTAGTTCCACCAGTTCACGTCAGCTGTTCGTAATATGCATTATTCGCATTTCGCAGTTTATTTCAAAATAGTTAGCAGATTGCGATTACTTTTCATTCGCAGTGAATTTTTAGCAGTTCGCGATTTCCTGCTCATCTCTATCTCATACGAAATTTTATTGGAATTCGAATGTCAATTGAATATGGTTTATTTGAAATTATATCACATTCGTGTACGATATTTTTACAGAATAGGGGCCCTGGATTGCGAATAAATCGGATCTGATGTTGATGTCATATTCTTTTCATTTCATAACTTCAATGTTAACAATAGAGAATACAGCTTGATCAATATTATATTTTAATTTTATAAACCAGTTTGGTTATCCTCACAAAAAAAAGTTGGACCTAAATTATCTGTGAAATTGGAATGAATGTAAACTCGGAAACTATAGAAGTATGTATTGAAAACCTATTCTAATTATAACTAAGTGGTAGCAATTGAAGTAAAAATGACAAAATAATCATACTAAGGCCCGGTTTATTAATCTTCAGACCAATGGGATTATAAATTGCGTTTTCATCTGTCATATACAAGCAAAATTGACAAGATTCATGATACAACCCACCATGTATTTGCCTTCTCTTCTTCGCCCCTAAGACGTCACCGGCAAAATTAAGTTTGCCAGACTTTACCTATCTGATAGTTTATCGGAAGATGAATAAATCGACCCTAAAACGAAAAGCCGATTTAATTATTAGGACTCACATAAAATGCCAATAGCTCATATCATGATTAATCTATCTACATAATAAACTCATCAATATTAGAAACGTGTGTTTAGAGCTTTGAAATATCAATAGAAAATATGATTAATGATATGATTTTTTTGAATCCGAAAGCGAAAGTGTTTGGCTCATAAATATCGGATATCGTTTAAGCGATTATGCATAAAATATTAATGTATCGATGGGGATTTTTCCAAAAAAAAAAGAAGATTGATAAGAGGTGAGTTAAGGTTGGAGAGAATGTTTTTATTTTCATGTTGCTGCTTTGAACAGGAGAAGTAACAATCCAGTTTTTGTATGTCTCTGATGCAAGAATTAAACAACGACCTTTGTAATTCCTGGAAGTAGCTAATTGGATGATTTAAATTGTTCTTGACGGATGATATCAAATTGTGTAGTTCTATTTTCCTACAACCACATACAAAAATGACAAAATCCGCACTAGTTGGTTCTTTGGAAAGCGCTAAATATTACACGCGTGCTGAAAATACTTTCAATACGCGTGCTTAAAGTACTTTCAGCACACGTGTGAAAAATACTGTTGACCTTATTTGTGATTAACATTTGACATCGACAGGAAAAATGGTGTTCATCACTTGTGAGAAAGCGTCTTTCATACACTTGTGTGATTATCGCACTCGGCTACCGCCTCGCGCGAAAAAACACTCGTGTGAAATTTGTCACTTTCTACACTCGTAATGTAATATACTATTCTTGGTCTGAATATGGAAAAGTTCGTAGGCCCAGAGAAGACTGATGTGTGTGTAACAGGAGATTACGATCACGGTGACAGCAATTGATGGGAAAGGATTTTCGAATCTGAATAGGTTATTCCAGGATGAAGCTACTACTCACCTGAGTATCTATATAGATAAAGTTTAGAAAGAATGATGGTAACGCTCGTAACTTCATAGTTGATAGTTTGGCTGATAATATGCTAGAAGTGTTGAAAGGTCGAAATGTGGAATAGTAATTTTTTTTTGTGGATAATCAAAGAGCAGTTTTGGAACTGAGAAATAGTAGCGGCTTAATCCAAGAACTTTTTTTCCTAAACACATCTTGATATACTATTACCTGTAAATGGGATATCCAGAAAGTTGTTGGAACAAAAATACCATGTAGACTTTATCGTGTCCGGGTGGCGTGACGTCACAAGGTATGCTTACACTATTTCCTTCCACTGCTTGTATTTCAATTGCTGCAGTAACTGGAAAGAAAAAAAAATACAATCCAAGGAAATTGCGAATATAACATGTAATTTAAATGAAAAAAAATTCAATTAATACTATGCTTTGTTGCAAAAATGGGTAAAATATTTTAAAAAGATTTTACACAAAAATAGTTGTAACACCAGGTCTCGCGTCCATTGAAACCATAATTTTTTAAAAATCTTATTACTAGAATCATACTACTGAACTTAAGTACCTAATAGAAAAGCAAAGAAGAAAATTTTCACAGTCAAGCCCCTGACATATGGTAGCAACCGTTGTTCGTATTGTTATGTATCATACAGACTGTAACATGGCCAAATTCAAGTTTTCCTTTGAATGAATGAAATAGTGGGCGGCCGCGACCGTAGTGCACATAGGTCTCCTGTGGTGGACCCGTCGTGCCCCACTGAGTTCTACCAGAGGCCTATGTCCTTAGAAAAGCCAATCAGGCACCCTGTCTTCATCCTTTTGAAGTCATCGGGCAAGCAATACAACTTGCCCAGGTGCTTGAACCTCGCGCGCGTAATGACGTGGTCTACCGTTTCCTGTTTTCCTTTAGTTCAAGAAATTGTGCAAAATTTGAAAATAATTTATGGATGTCCCAAAAAAGGATGAATATAAAAATAGGAAAGTTGATTTATAATCCGGTCAAAATACTACTAAAAATAGGAGTGAAGTTACAAAAATTCCCATAGAGCTGAAAATTAGTATGGATGTTCAGAACACCATTATAAATGAATGTTGAAAAGTCCCTATCAATCCCGTACCTGCAATTTTTTTTAATTTAAGGTCAAGGCCTATTCCACGGTCCATTGTGATCCTGTTTAATTTAGAACTATTGGATAATAAAAAATAATAGTATTGGGAATGATGAAAGCTGTATAAATTTAAAAAAAAATAAAAATTTGTACCTTGAGGATGACCTAGTTTAGGTCGAAACGTCGACAAATACATATTTTGCATTTTCAACGCTGTTTTATTCACCTGAATCCAACTTCTAAAAAACTAATCAAATGAAAAGTATGTCAGGTCGAAAGGAAGAGGGTGAAACTGTTACCGTTGATCGTGGCATGAAGACATTAATCAATGCAAGTACTGAAAGAGCTGATGAATTTTTGGAATATTTGAAAAATCAGAAATCTGTGATGTGACAATACATGTGGGTATACTATCAATTTCAATTGTAACTTGGTTATCAACTATATCCAAGAGACTGTGGTTGGAAGTTGATCGACAGACGACAATACATTGGAACCAGTACAAACTTTATTCTCATTTGCGCCGGAAAAACTGCTCAACACAATTTGCAATTGTAACAGGGAATGTAGTGGTAAATACGATTGCGAAAAAGTTGGATAATTTCGTTCTCTTGCATGTCTTGTCAAGGCCAGTCGTGCTCCAATGTTGAATAACCAACAGAAGAGGATTCGTATGATACCAACGAGGAGACATGCGATGCATCGCTATTGAGGCAGTTCACTTGCATCCAGCAAGAAGAACCAGAACAAAATGAAGAGGAAGCAGAAGTATTAGACGACTATGAATCTGACTATCTGACTTTCCCCAATTTTTCAAAATGTATACCGCTTTCATCATTCCCATTACTATTATTTTTTATTGTTCAATAGTTTTGAATTGAACAGGATCATAATAGACCGCGGAATATGCCTACCGGATAACCACGTCATAGTAATTAACGTTATAAGGCCCGTAAATAGCCAAATACCAGCCGGGCTGGGTTTTGTGATCTGAGGCAATAGCTAAGGCTATTATTTGCAGTTATCGGCCGTGTCTCATACTGCAGACTCTCCTATAGGGGTATGCCGGTGGCCGTTATTCACTTTTTAAGCGGCCGGCGGATAAATAACGACCGGCGGCCGTTAAATATACATTTCAGTTTCAATTTCGCTCATGTTATAGTCAGATAACAGTGCAGCATGACGGAAAAAAAAGCGCGCTTCAGTACAGATTACAACTTTTTCAACTTTAAGAATCGTTATATTATCTCATAATCGGTGGCTTTTAGGGAAAAAAGTACTTATTATGAGACATTTTTTTATAGATAAATATGATCTACAATTTTTGTCTGACCTAATTTTATGGAATGATAAAACTCACCGTTTTGCTGAAAAACGCGAAAAACCCATTATTAAGACCATTGACCTTGAATAAAAAAAATTCCAGGTACAGGATCGAAAGGGACTTTTTAGCATTTATTTATAATGGTGTTCTGAACATCCATACCAATTTTCAGCTCTATGGGAATTTTTGCACCCTTGCATGTTTAAATTGAATAATAATAAAAAAAAATGCACATTTGAATTTAAGCTTATGACTTAATTCTTAGTCTATCATCTGGCGAAAAAAAAACATCACTGAATAGGACACTTGTTATGGTAGGTACAACTTCAACCTACAATGCTTGAATCAGAGCATTTAGTTCTACGAATCTGGGTATTAACTTTGTCAACAGAGTAGGTAAAAATCAATTTGAAAATTTCATTCCGTGGTAATTTTTGTGGTGTTACAAAACATGACAAGAATATTCATTCAATTGAACCAATTTCAATAGTAAACACAGGTTTACTATGAGCAATGCGATAATATTGTTTTGTAGAGGGAAAATTTGGTTACTGTAGCGCCCGTAAACACGGGACATTTAGGCGGACTTTAATTTAACATTATTTATACTTCGCTCAAATATTGAACGCCCATTTCTCTAGAATCTATAATTATTATTGTAGCTTACTAAAAAATTACCTACTGCATTATGTAGGTAATGATTATGATGCAGACAGCAATGCAGTCTGGATTTGGATTAATTAAAACTAATGCTCTAGGATTTTCGACCACTTGATGCTAATTTATGGCTTTTTCACAGATTTGTAATGTTGCTAAGAGAGGAATCGTATATTGTTGTATTAGGAGTAGAAGCTTTACTTTTTTGTGCTGAAGCAGTAGGTTTGCGAGCCGAACGTAGTGAGGCTTGCAATACTGCTGAAGCACAAAAAAGTGCTTCTACTTCGTATGCAACACGCTATTTTTTCTCCAAACGAATGGGGTGAGCTCGGGGGTAACTGAATGGTTGAGCGGCAGTAAAAGTACGAGCGGCACTAAAATTACTTTTGCTGCCGCTCCAGCGGCACTAAAAGTACTTCTACTGCCGCTACGGTTGCCTAGCAGCATAGAAATTAAATTTCTACCACCTCGACAGGTGTTAACCTGCTGGATTTGCCTACCAGCATAGAAATTAAATTTCTGACATCTTGACAGGCGTTAACAAAGTGACGTTTTTTTGACGTTTGGAGAAAAAATGTTTTTTTCGTTTGGCTGCTTTGGTCTGCCGACTTGTTCGGTAAATGGCAGAATAAACATAAGTAACTGGTTGATATATTTTTAGAAAATCACTTGTTTACCATAGTTAATAATTGGTTTTGTAAAATGAAAGTTCTACAATTTTCTATGTTAATTCTATAAAGTTTTTGGTGGATAAAAATTACTAAATCCTGAGTCCACTTTCTTACCCATAAGACTGTATCTCTGATATTCACCAAAAAAAAATCTCCCTGGAAATAGGCGGAGAAGAAGAAACGAAACAATCCATAATTCTACCCCGCCATCGGCTCCCCATTTTGGTGACGTACGAAAAACACTTGGAGAGTATCACAAGGGATGCCGCATTGATTTATGAAGAACGTACAGGCTGTCCCAAATTCGAGGGTGACCATTGAGATATCGGAAACTATAAGAGATACGACGTCGGTTAAATTATGGCAAAAATGCGTAATTTTATGACTAATAAAATGCCGTTTTGAAATTTGAAAAATTCCGAATACTTCCGAAGATATTCGGGAAAAACCGAAATTTTGCAAAATCATTTTTATTTTTTCCTGAGTCTATTTGAAGAGCAATTTTAAAATAAATGTCACTTCATCATTATCACTTTTTACCCTTTACAAAATGTTGCTACAAAATTTCAGATTCGACGTTTCGTCTTTGGGCGACCATCATCAACTTTATTTTTTTAAATATGACGCTTGATTTTTTATTCCAGATTTTAAGAGCTTCTGGTGTCCCAAGACTTATGACGTATCGCATTTATTCGAAAATTACTTTTTAGTAATTTCCTACCAAAATTCTCTTCTCTGTCTCTTTCTAACACATTTAGTTCTTATGGAAAGTGCCAATAATATAAATTTTTCGAATCAATACGATACGTCATAGGTTTGGGGACATCAAAAGCTCTTAAACTCTGAAATAAATGATGATGGCCGCCCAAAGACAAAAAGTCGAATCTGAAATTTGGTAGCAACATCTTGTAAAGGAGAATAAGTGACAATGATGCAGTGACATTTATTTTATAATTGCTCTTCAAATAGATTCAGGAAAAAATAAAAATGATTTTGCAAAATTTCGGTTTTTTCCGAATATCTTCGAAAGTATTCGGAATTTTTCACATTTCAAAACGACATTTTATTGGTCAAAAATTGCGCAAATTTGCCATAATTTAACCAACCTTGTATCTCTAATAATTTCCGATATCTCAATGGTCACCGTCCAATTTGGGACACCCTGTACAACGCTTCTATATCAGATTAAAGTCCGCTCAAACACATGGCCGTGTGCATCAGCAGAGGACATCCATGACCAGATTGTTTTTACTTCAGGTCATTATCAGCTGTTTTAATTTGCACAGCACAGAAATGAACACATGTTACAACCTGAGAAGTAAATTGGTTCAAGAAATAAGACGAGATTTTTGGAAAAAATGGCTACCAGAGTTATTTAAATGAAAAAGGCCTTAAATGCACTTGGGAATGGCAGCAGTTCAAATAGACATAGAACATTTTCAGTTGGCTTAGAACATTTCCGACTCTGCTAGAAAAAGAGACAAATGTTGTAGGCAATCCTACTAAGGAGAAAAAAAATTGAAACAAATCCATATTATTTCATTCATGGAATATAATATGAGCTTCCCAAAAAATCTTCATGTCGG